TAATGGAAATTCTACACGTTGGACATAAAGGAGTCATGTCATGTCATGCTTGGTACTGCATGGTCTGCTACGTGTCATGCTTGATACTGGATAGTCTGCTACGTGTCATGCTTGATACTGGATAGTCTGCTACGTGTCATGCTTGATACTGGATAGTCTGCTACGTGTCATGCTTGATACTGAATGGTCTGCTACGTGTCATGCTTGATACTGAATGGTCTGCTACGTGTCATGCTTGATACTGAATGGTCTGCTACTAGTCATGCTTGATACTGAATGGTCTGCTACGTGTCATGCTTGAAACTGAATGGTCTGCTACGTGTCATGCTTGATACTGGATAGTCTGCTACGTGTCATGCTTGATACTGGATGGTCTGCTACGTGTCATGCTTGATACTGGATAGTCTGCTACGTGTCATGCTTGATACTGAATGGTCTGCTACGTGTCATGCTTGAAACTGAATGGTCTGCTACGTGTCATGCTTGATACTGGATAGTCTGCTACGTGTCATGCTTGAAACTGGATAGTCTGCTATGTGTCATGCTTGATACTGGATAGTCTGCTACGTGTCATGCTTGATACTGGATGGTCTGCTACGTGTCATGCTTGATACTGAATGGTCTGCTACGTGACATGCTTGATACTGGATAGTCTGCTACGTGTCATGCTTGATACTGGATACCCTGCTACGTGTCATGCTTGATACTTGATGGTCTGCTACGTGTCATGCTTGATACTGGATAGTCTGCAACATGTCATGCTTGATACTGGATAGTCTGCTATGTGTCATGCTTAATACTGGATAGTCTGCTACGTGTCATGCTGGATATTGGATGGTCTGCTATGTGTCATGCTTGATACTGGATGGTCTGCTATGTGTCATGCTTAATACTGGATGGTCTGCTACGTGTCATGCTGGATACTGGATGGTCTGCTACGTGTCATGCTGAATACTGGATGGTATGCTATGTGTCATGATGGATATTGGATGGTCTGCTACGGGACTAGTAATTGTGATAAAGGGACCAGTATGAGTGATAAAGGGACTAGTATGAGCCATAAAAAGACTAGTATGAGCCATAAAGGGACGAGTGTGGGTGATAAAGGCACTAGTATTGGTAACAAAGGAGCTAGTATGGTTGGTTGGTTGGTTTGTTGTTAAATGCCGCACTCAGCAATATTCCAACTATATGACGGCGGTCTGTAAATAATCCAGTGATTAATATCATGAGCATCTATCCACCAATTTGTATCGATAACATGCATCAACCAAGTCAGCGAGCTTGACCACCCGATCAAGTTAGTCGCCTCTTACAAGCATAGTCGCCTTTTACGGCAAGCATGGGTTGCTGCAGACGTCTGGTAAGAGTGATTAAGGGACTTGTATGGGTGATAAAGGAGGTGATGTGAAATGGGGTTTAACGTCGCGTCCAAGATTATAGCACTTATATAGTGACGTGCCGACCAGTCCTTGTTTTAGCCCCTTAATGCCGAGCGCCAGACAGGGTAACAACAAGTACCATCTTTTAACGTCTTTTGGTATGACGCGGCCAGGGATCGAAGCCCGGACCTTCCGCTCTGGGCGGACGCTCTACCACTAGGCTACGGAGGCGGTCGGGTGATAAAGGAACTTGTATGAGTGATAAAGGGACTAACATGAGTGATTAAGGGACTAGTATTGGTTATAAATGGACAAGTATTGTGATACAGGGACCAGTAAGGGTGATAAAGGGAATAGTATGGTGATAAAGGGAATAGTATGGTGATTAGTGGACTAGTATAGGTGACAAAGGGACTAGTATGAGTGATAAAGGGACTAGTATAGGTGATAAAGGGAATAGTATGGTGATAAAGGGAATAGTATGGTGATAAGTGGACTAGTATAGGTGATAAAGGGACTAGTATTGGTGATAAGTGGACTAGTATAGGTGATAAAGGGACTAGTATGAGTGATAAAGGGACTAGTAAGGGTGATAAATGGACTAGTATGGGTGATAAGTGGACTGGAAGGAGTAATAAAGGGACTAGTATTGGTGATAAAGGGACTAGTGTGAGTGATAAAGGGACTAGTGTGAGTGATAAAGGGACTAGTATGGGTGATAAGTGGAATAGTATTGGTGATAAAGGGACTAGTGTGAGTGATAAAGGGACTAGTATTGGTGATAAAGGGACTAGTATGGGTGATAAGTGGAATAGTATTGGTGATAAAGGGACTAGTGTGAGTGATAAAGGGACTAGTATTGGTGATAAGTGGACTAGTATAGGTGATAAAGGGACTAGTATGAGTGATAAAGGGACTAGTAGGGGTGATAAATGGACTAGTATGGGTGATAAGTGGACTGGTATGAGTGATAAAGGGACTAGTATTGGTGATAAGTGGACTAGTATAGGTGATAAAGGGACTAGTATGAGTGATAAAGGGACTAGTATTGGTTGGTTGGTTTGTTGTTTTACGCCTCACTCAGCAATATTCCAGCTATATGACGGCGGTCTGTAAATAATCGAGTCTGGACCAGACAATCCAGTGATTTACATCATGAACATCGATCCATGCAATTGGGATTGATGGACTAGTATTGGTGATAAAGGGACTAGTATTGGTGATAAGTGGACTAGTATAGGTGATAAAGGGACTAGTATGAGTGATAAGTGGACTGGTATGAGTGATAAAGGGACTAGTGTGAGTGATAAAGGGACTAGTGTGAGTGATAAAGGGACTAGTATGTGTGATAAGTGGAATAGTATTGGTGATAAAGGGACTACTATAGGTTATAAAGGGACTAGAATTGGTTATAAGTGGACTAGTATTGGTGATAAGTGACTGGTATGAGTGATAAAGGGACTAGTATTGGTGATAAGTGACTGGTATGAGTGATAAAGGGACTAGTATTGGTGATAAGTGACTGGTATGAGTGATAAAGGGACTAGTATTGGTGATAAGTGGACTAGTATTGGTGATAAGTGGACTAGTATTGGTGATAAGTGATTGGTATGAGTGATAAAGGGACTAGTATTGGTGATAAGTGACTGGTACGAGTGATAAAGGGACTAGTATTGGTGATAAGTGACTGGTATGAGTGATAAAGGGACTAGTATTGGTGATAAGTGGACTAGTATTGGTGATAAGTGGACTAGTATAGGTGATAAAGGGACTAGTATGAGTGATAAAGGGACTAGTATTGGTGATAAGTGGACTAGTATAGGTGATAAAGGGACTAGTATGAGTAATAAAGGGACTAGTATTGGTTGGTTGGTTTGTTGTTTTACGCCTCACTCAGCAATATTCCAGCTATATGACGGCGGTCTGTAAATAATCGAGTCTGGACCAGACAATCCAGTGATTTACATCATGAACATCGATCCATGCAATTGGGATTGATGGACTAGTATTGGTGATAAAGGGACTAGTATTGGTGATAAGTGGACTAGTATAGGTGATAAAGGGACTAGTATGAGTGATAAGTGGACTGGTATGAGTGTAAAGGGACTAGTGTTGGTGATAAAGGGACTAGTGTGAGTGATAAAGGGACTAGTGTGAGTGATAAAGGGACTAGTATGTGTGATAAGTGGAATAGTATTGGTGATAAAGGGACTACTATAGGTTATAAAGGGACTAGAATTGGTTATAAGTGGACTAGTATTGGTGATAAGTGACTGGTACGAGTGATAAAGGGACTAGTATTGGTGATAAGTGACTGGTACGAGTGATAAAGGGACTAGTATTGGTGATAAGTGACTGGTATGAGTGATAAAGGGACTAGTAAGGGTGATAAATGGACGAGTATTGGTGATAAGTGGACTAGTATTGGTGATAAGTGACTGGTATGAGTGATAAAGGGACTAGTATTGGTGATAAGTGGACTAGTATTGGTGATAAGTGGACTAGTATTGATGATAAAGGGACTAGTATTGGTGATAAAGGGACTAGTATTGGTGATAAGTGGACTAGTATTGGTGATAAGTGACTGGTATGAGTGATAAAGGGACTAGTATTGGTGATAAAGGGACTAGTATTGGTGATAAGTGGACTAGTATTGGTGATAAAGGGACTAGTATTGGTGATAAGTGACTGGTATGAGTGATAAAGGGACTAGTATTGGTGATAAGTGACTGGTATGAGTGATAACTGGACTAGTATTGGTGATAAGTGACTGGTATGAGTGATAAAGGGACTAGTATTGGTGATAAGTGACTGGTATGAGTGATAAAGGGACTAGTATTGGTGATAAAGGGACTAGTGTTGCAGAACTTTCATGATTAGTTTCCTTAGTTGTATGACATCATAATACTACAAGTTTAACAAACACACACTCTAGGTTCAGGAGAGGTAAGAATGTGAGTGGATGCCTCTGGTACTGTGGTGGCAATAGAACCTACTGTAAGGAAGGTAAAGAAAGGGCTCCTACAACAACAGGAGAACACCATGCAGTACCAGGATACTGGACTTTCACGTCAAGCACAAAAGCGTGTCCAATACATGACACCATTTCATTACTTTAAGGGATCCTCATATTGCCTGGACCCCCACTTTGGCAAATCAGGGTAAAGCCCAGAAGATACGATTGCAATGTGCCAAACTCATTTGACCTTACGAGCTAGCTGCCAGTCCAATAATGTAATGAAAGTAATTGAAAATAGATCTATATATATTTAATATTCATATCAATGTCAAATAACTATCTTAGTTCATGAAAATATATTTTGATGAATGCCAAGGATAGTCTAATTTGTTGTAGTTCTTTGATATGTTATGTAGCAGATAACGAGTCAGTCCATTCCCACACAGTCAACAGCCCCTTGTAGTGGACCATAACTAGTGCCAGCTTAAGCTGCAGTTCTCATGTACTGTAGTTCTCAAGGGAGAACCCCTTGACAATCATAAAAAAATTTAAAATACTTGGACATGACTTGACAAGACAACATGCACAGCAAGCACATACAGCACATTCAACTTGAATAATTCAGGCACATAATGGCACAAAAACAACAAACAGATGGATCTTGCTAAAAATGTTTATTCTGGCACACAAATCCTTCCACACGACAAACTGATGACACACTACTGACACACATCACACAGCGCTGCAGTCAGTCAACCAGCGTCAGGCACACACATACTGGGTGGCCAGCGTACACCACTAATACCTGCGGTCTACACCACTGATACCTGTAGTTAACTCCACAAATACCTGTGGTTTACTCCACGAATACCTGTGGTTTACACCACTGATACCTGTGGTTTACTCCACGAATACCTGTGGTTTACTCCACGAATACCTGGGGTGTACTCCACGAATACCTGTGGTTTACTCCACGAATACCTGTGGTTTACTCCACGAATACCTGTGGTTTACTCCACGAATACCTGTGGTTTACTCCACAAATACCTGTGGTTTACTCCACGAATACCTGTGGTTTACTCCACGAATACCTGCGGTCTACACCACTGATACCTGTAGTTAACTCCACAAATACCTGTGGTTTACTCCACGAATACCTGCGGTTTACTCCACGAATACCTGTGGTTTACATCATGAATACCTGTAGTTTACTCCACGAATACCTGCGGTCTACACCACTGATACCTGTAGTTAACTCCACAAATACCTGTGGTTTACTCCACGAATACCTGCGGTTTACATCATGAATACCTGTAGTTTACTCCACAAATACCTGTGGTTTACTCCACGAATACCTGTAGTTTACTCCACGAATACCTGTGGTTTACTCCACGAGTACCTGTGGTGTACTCCACGAATACCTGTAGTTTACTCCACAAATACCTGTAGTTTACTCCACGAATACCTGTAGTTTACTCCACAAATACCTGTGGTTTACTCCACGAGTACCTGTGGTGTACTCCACGAATACCTGCGGACTACACCACGAATACCTGGGGTGTACTCCATGAATACCTGTGGTTTACTCCACGAATACCTGTGGTTTACTCTACTGATACCTGTGGTATACCATCTCTTTACGGTAGGTCTTAGCATAAATAATAGCAATGATTTATCGTGCCCTGCTTTCAACAAACTCAATACATAAGCAGGTTACCATGCTGTCATATCTAAGCCATAAAAGTCATTAAGAGTGATTAATCATCCATTATGAAGCCATATCAGCTGTTGCAGCAAAAACTTGTCTCACGACAAACATTATCAACTTAATGGCCCAACTAACTGATGTTAATGTTATTAAAACAATGTGGTCTTGAAAGTGTCACGGAGTGGTACTGCAGCTACTTAATAGCCCAACTAACTGATGTTAATGTTATTAAAACAATGTGGTCTGGAGAGTGTTACGGACTGGTAATGCAGCTACTGGTTGACACACAAGTTAATGACCAGCGCAGAAGTTGCAAATTTGACAATACGCCACGCCCTGATATTGTCAGTTGATGTGACAGCGCATGTAGACTGTAAATGAACGAGGTTGTTGCATCACACAGTGACACTAACATCACTGGCGTACACGTCGAGCTGCCGATTCATTTTCAAACAGCACGCCTATGAAATACTGGACTGTTCAACGCATTTATATTCTGAGGGGTCAACTGTGAGATCTGTGATTTTTTATCTGTGTCTACCAAAAGGTGAAAGGAGAAAACAAATACCTTATTTGATCCAATAAGTGCCCTGCTCTAATAAGCGCCCACAGAGATATTTGCTAATATATTGGCTAGTGAACAATCCCAATTAGCACCCCTCCCGGTTGATCAATGTACACAAGACTTATTTATTTGTGTATAATATGCACTCATGTGTTATATGCACCCCTAATTATGGACAATTAAATTCTGGAAAGATATATCTGTCGTGTATAAACATTTCAGGCTGTTAGCATAAACCACAAAGTTTCCAATCTTTCAACTCTGTTTTTTTTTCACCAAAAAAATATTCAAATAAGAGCCCCCATTTCAAATATTTGAAAGCGCCCTGGGCGCTTATTACGTTGAATACTGTAGTTCTGTGCCACTATTCCTGGCATTAAAACATTGCTGGATCATGTACATGACTCTCTAAACTGGACCTCATTCCACAAGCGACTGTAGTGCGACTGTAGTAAGTCCATGTTAAATGTCCATGTCTCAGCACCAAGATCACTTTGTGGAGAAGGCACCTGATAATTAGCCCATTTTCTTTCAAATTTTCTGAGAAACAATCATTTTTCCTTTTCAACCTGACAAAGTGATATTCGGACTACAACATGTTATGACGAACAGTGCCAGCTGTTTGTTGTCCTGAGATCACAATGACATAACATGATCAGAAGCCAACACAGTAAAACTGCTGAGGTATGCAGTTCTGTGTCAGCCATGATGGGTATATGTTCACACATGCAAACACTCTAAAAAACAACCTTCAAAAGACTGATTATCACAGACAAGGACTGGCTCATCTCCTAACACACTACATGGTCCATGCAGGCCATGTACATCAAACAATACTGACCAGACAAATAAGTTACCATGTAGCACTACAACCGTCGTGTATATACAAATGCCGCTAAAATTCCATATGATAAACTGAATATTCCATGCAAGACAAAAACTGCAATTCATGCCTTTGATTCTCTTATTGGCAGATAAAGTTTGGCAAAGTTAATAAGTACAAAGGCACAAAAAAACCTCTGATTGTCAAAAGCACATATTCGTTATACCCTGATCAGGAGTGAGCAGCTCTAAAAGAGCAGCAACTGATAGGGGATTGTCAGATCAAGGGTCATAATCGTTTTTCTGACTTGAACTAATGACCAACAGGTTCTGGCTGTAGGGGGTGGCATATTTAGGGCTGAGACTACTTATAACACTCAGAATAACGTTATCATCCTCATGGAGTGTATTGCAGATTGAAGGGTGGACAGTAAGTTACAAAGTCTGCAACAACAGTCAAACCTTGTGTTGACCTGGAAAAATGTTTGAGTTATCTGAGGTTCGGACAACCAAATTATAGAATCATGAACATAATATTAATTTGTTTGACTCAATTCTCGATTTTCTCACCACATACCGGTACCCATGCAAGAACACTTCAGTATCTTGGTGCTGATGTGTGCACAGTAATCAGCTTGCCCCGTTGATGTAAGGTGTGCTTATTAATTGGGCTCCATTGGATGTTGTCCTCAGTTATTTAGAAAGCATCCTGCCTTTGATGTAGTTGCGGCAATTGTACCGAGATCAGTTAGTCATGTGTGAAGTTAGCTGAATGCTTGGCGAGTGTGGGTGAGGGGGCATTATGATTTTATTTTGATCTGTTTGAGTCATCAGGGAACTTTTTTGGTTCATTTGGATACATTAGACTCCCTATTGAGTCCGAAACGACTGGGAATTTGACACATCTAGTTGGACAGAACAGAGTATTAATGATGCTAAATATAGAAGATATTTGAAGGGAGCGGAAGGTGACTTCGAGACAACCGGGTTTGACTGTATATTTCACAAGGTTCGACTGTACATTTCACAAAGAATATATTCAGACAGTGCTAAATATGCCGTGTTGTGCATGTTGGGATTTCATGAAAATGTAATGACAATCATAAAATGTGCACCTGAAAATACGTTTGGTCCGGCATGTGATTCAAAACTTGTCTTCCCAGCATGCATCACGCTGAGCTGTCCTGGCAAAGGAAGCAGCCATTGAAGGAGAATAAATGTGATAAACATAGAAGACAGCAATGATAATACTTGTCAGTATTGTACTAAGTACACAGGTTCAATACTGTAAAGATGTCATGATCAACACAAGCCACTAAGGCCCCATCCCACAAAGCACACACAGTATTATGACTAGCATTATGTGACATGAACTTTATCCAAGAGCTGTGTCAGTTGCTCTAGCATTTGAAAACATGCTCCCCTGAAAATAACACACACACAGCACAGGGGCCCCAAACAAAGTGATTGTAGAGCTACAACCATAGTAACGCCAGTACTTTAACAGAGACATACAACAGTCGTAGCGCTAAGACCATTTTGTGAATCAGGCCACATTTGTTTTGTAATTCATGAAGTTTTTGTGGCAAGCATTTTAGCTTTGTGAGGTTGACATAAACATGAGTATAAATATTTGTTTGGCATTTGGTCGGTCAGTTTCAAGGGAGAAAAACAAGTTAAATGTTTATCATTAATGATCAAATGTCAACCAATTTACTTCAAGCAGAGAAGGTTTTGATCTCTCTACTTGGTGTTTGCAGTGGCCAGAGACTATATTTTAAGAATTTGATCAATTATTATTTCAAGATAGAGGCTTCTGTCTCCCTTCAGTCTCATATTTAAACCAAAACCATATAAAAAGTGTTGTTTTAACCATATCTATAGTCGTTCAGTAAAGATGCAGTCTGTGCCAAAAACTCTACACGTGGGATTTACTCTCAACATGTATTTGGACAGCTGTAAGCTTTACTTGAACAAAAGAAGCTTATAGTGGCAATGGCTTCACCAAGTAGCTGAGAGACATACTGAAGTTCACTGTACAGCTACAATGTCTTGAACAATCAATGCATCAACCATGTTTAGTTTGGTCCTAGACGAATTATTTACAAGGTTCAATACCTTACAGACATATTTGTATTGATATTTCAAGTTATTGTGTCCAGTGTTGCATGACCGACCAATATAAACCAGATTCAGTATTTTTGCTGAAAATTCAGAATACAACCTTGCCCTAGACTATCAGAAAACATACTTGATACTGCCATTTTGTGTTTCAAGATGTTTTAGAACAAGTTTAGTACACATTTTGACCACTGATACACTGGTACATAAACTATCAGACCTTCTACTCTGCTATGATACCTCTGTGTGCAGAGCTGACATACCCTCACTGCAGTCAGTGTTAGAAACTGGCACTAGTCCAGTAGTCCTTGCCAAACTGCCCAATAGTTAAGGACCATAATTTTATTATTATAAGAACAAGTGGACAAAAAATGTTAGTTTCTACTTCTGTACAGATGAACCTACCGATACTGCCTGTCAATATGAAGGATGTGTTGTTTTTCAGCTAATTGAATGTCAGCTTTCTAAAACCATTCAGCTAAATTTCCTTACCACCTTGATACATTTTTTGGATCTATCAAAAGAAAATCAATACAGAACACACATATTCCCTCTTAGACTACCGCTTCGTCTCTGGAAATATAGGACTTTAAAAGGGACAGATAACTCAATTTACATTGAAAAGGAGCCCAATGAAATGGAAGTTTCAGAACTTGAGGAAAATCTAGCCTTGCTTCATTTAGGACTTTTGAACGACAGAAACCGCTCCGTGGAAGGGAAATAATATGGTTCAGAGACTGTGAGACAGTCTAATTCCCTTGATTTGACCATGTGTATAAAATACCCACAACACATACTGTACTGTACGGCCTCTAAAACATTCATTACTTTCCATTTGGAACTCATATTTGTATGTTTATTTACAACATACAGAAAAATGATATGCTGCACCAAATGTCTTGCTCACTTGGAAAATTTAGCAATCTGGATGCTGATTGGCAGATGAGAAATTTCACTTGATGCAAACTCTTATGAAAGTTTGTCAAACCTTTAGGCAGGAAGAGGTACTATATCAGAGTAGGGATCTGATTATATTTAGATTGACCCCTAATTCACAGGTCTGACGATGTCAGGGACATGAAATGTCCCGCTTCTATGTACAATGTATATGTTTTCCTGATTACTATGTGACTGTGACCAATAAAGTCATAAAATGTTCAGTAAAACCCAGCTGTCGGAACTATCCTGCGAGGTAGACAATCAACACACATACACTCTCACACATGTGTCCGGTGACTGTCAGCTAGACACACACGTCGTTAACTGTAGTATTTGGCTATCTGGCGGTTAAATCCATCAATTATTGCTTTCCTGAAAAAAGAAGAAGAAAAGACATGACAGAACAAGTTACCTCATTCAATGACTAACAGCGAATGCAGTCTGCATTTCAGAAAGTGATATTACTGCCTTCCTGTAGCAGGCTGTGGTGTAATCAAGTCTTACAGTACAGACAAACAAGGGTTTCATAGCGTCAGGATGGGGATGTCACAGCTGAGAGTGGGTGACTTTTGTATTTTATGTCGCTTTGAACATTATTTCAATTATATCATGGCTTTTCAAACTGATGAGGGGGAAATGCCCAAAGTGATGCTGGTCTTAGATGTTTATCACTCTCATGAAATACATGAGCATAGGTATGGTGCTGACAAATATAGAAATATTATCATAGGGTTCTGGCACATTAAGGGGAGGCAACTCTGCATCTCCCTTCAGCTGAAAGGTGTACAGTATTTCCTGATGAACACCCAACTTATTAATTTTCATACTCAATGGCCATTATGCTATGACAACCTGATCACTATTTAGACAGTTCTAAAAATTCAGGTGAGCTGCAGAACCTTTTGGCCCTAAATTTTACTGGTAGGTCTGTGCTTCTATCATATTCCTTATGTAATCATTAAACAGAGTAACCATGGTAACATTTTGTTTTCTAATCAATGTTCTGAAAAGGATCACAAATTCAATTGCTACAAACAAAAAGAACTGTCATGAATTTGTGATAAATTAAGTTGTCCATTTGAAAATATTAGGCAAGTTTAACCCCTGCAACCTAAACACAGTGCCTACCTGAAGACAAACTGATTGAGGAGGAAGGCAGTGACATGACCTCTGTCCAGATACCGCACCTCCGAGCCGGGCCATAGCTGGTCCAGTCTCAGAACATCGTCTCGGGGGATATATGCATCTTGCATGGCTGCGACGATGATGATAAGTTCGGGGTCAATGGGTACAGAGAAGTTCCCTAGATGCGTGCACTCATCCATCACTCCTACCATAAACTGTAGGGCCTCCTTCTTCAAGGTCTTAGGGTAGCTAACCGCCTCCGACTTGCCATTAAAAGGCACACGAAATAGTTTTGATTTGGCACTAGCATGTTGTAATGTCAAAGGCTCTGTTCTCCAGTTAGCAACTTTCTGTCCAGCAGCTTGATTGGTCTTGACCGTGGCGCTGTCAGGTGGTAGACTGACCGCTGAGCTAAAGCCCCTTGCTCCAATGTCAACACTGGGAGTTCCGGGACTGGGAGTTCCGGGACTGGGAGTTCCGGGACTGGGAGTTCCGGGACTAGGGGACCGTATGTTGCCGGGTTTCTTGTCCATGTTGACGTCTGGGTCAGGGTGCCGGGATGAGAAGGCAGACACAAACTTCTTCCCCATACCATAAGCTCCACGCAGCGCCTGTGGACAGAGACAGACTGACAGACGTCATTGTGAGTGACATTAGTGACAGAGATTATTATGACTGACATTATTGTTTCATTTTTTGTTGTTTAATGCCGTACACAGCAATATTCCAGCTATATGATGGCGATCTGTAAATAATCGAGTCTGGACCAGACAATCTAGTGATTGAGATCATGAGCATCAATCCAAGCAATTGGGATACGATGACATGCATCAACCAAGTCAACGTGTCTGACCATCTGATCCTGGTTAGTCACCTTTCAGGGCAAGCATGGGTTGCTGAAGACCTATTCTACCCAGGACATTGACAGAGGTCATTGTTACTGACAGATCTTGCAATTGACAGATCACTGTGACTGACAATGTCAACTTATGTCAAGGAATGGATTGTCTGGTGCAGACCTGATTTTGTACATACCGCAATATTGTATTGCAATATATTGTCATACTTTAACCTGTATTGCGATACGTATTGCAATATATTGCGAATTTACATTTACATCAGCCTTGGCTCGCTTATTTGGGACGGTGTCGAAATCATCTGCCATTTTGTATCCCAGCAACGATCAAGGGATTGGTTTGGTTGGTTTGTTGTTTAACGTTGCACTCAGCAATATTCCAGTTATATGACGGCGGTCTGTAAATAATCGAGTCTGGACCAGACAATCCAGTGATTAATATCATGAGCATCGATCCACGCAATTGGGATCGATGACATGTATCAACCAAGTCAGCGAGCCTGACCACCCGATCCGGTTAGTCGCCTTTTACGACAAGCATAGTCACCTTTTACAGCAAGCATGGGTTGCTGAAGACCTATTCACAATCAAGGGAGATAATATGGTCACATGGTAATGCAAGCTCCTTCCTAGCACGTAGCACCTTCGTCATAATCTCGGTATAGAGAGCTCTGCCAATGGGCTATCGCTGTGAGGAGCTTGAAAGTAGTGATGTGTACACGCTAATTAATATAAAGATTGTCAGGCAAGTTGTATCAGAAAGATACTATTTTCCATCTCCATATCGATTAGGAACACATAAATATACTTATTTATATTTGCCCCAATATATTGCTATATTTACAAGTGTATCGCAGTTCGTATTACTGAAGATTTGCACCACAATATACCGGTGAACCCGTAATACCGCACACCGTCAGTAAACTACATTTATAACGCACTGATGGATATAACAAACATTTTGGGGGGTCCTGTCCATTTGCTGTATAGATGCTGTATAACTGCTGATAACAAAGTATGGTTCAAACAAACTAAAATAAGACGTCCCAGTGTTCCTGCCGGCTTTTAAAACTACCAGTCCTTGGGGTCTGGCAACTCAAAAAACTACCAGTCCTCCCTAATTTTTGTCAGTCCAGACTTTCAACAAATAAACAAATGTATGAAAATTAACTGGTTTTAATTCTTTCAACATCATGTTCAATGCAATGACGTCATCTCTGAAGTAATTTAGAGAGATCTACACGTCATTCACACAAAGTTCAGTCACAATTTTCTCCTTTTTTAAAATATTTCACTACAAATGAATATTTCACCTCATGCAAAGCAAAATGTTATTTCCTTGCACTAAATATAGACCAGGGGAAAGATTCATTTGAAATATATGCTTATATGAATATCCCCAATGTTTTGTTCAACATCAAAGATTTATAAGGTACTTTATTTGCCAGTCCACAGGGACTGGCAGTCACATGAATTACTGGTCCAAACCTATATTTACCGGTAAAAAACTGGTAATTACCGGTACATGTGAACACTGTTGTCCCTTTGAGTTCGGTATAACTGGAGTTTACCGTACTTCAGCATACACTTTCAACAGTCATTGTGCCAAGACAAGATCTCTAACCTGTGGTTGACTGTCTGCTGATGTATTTGTTGCTGAGGGGGGGACAAGGGTGTCGACAATGCAGTGAAGTACTGGCAATACATGTATGCCTGGGTTGTGGAAGGGTAGGATACAGTTTGTAAACATACTGGACCCTTTCCTGTAGTGATTTTGTATATACCTCCTCCGGTGAGTGGATCAGCTTCTTGATCTCCTGTTCGTACACATGGTCCTCGAAATACTGAGACTCCAGCACCTGCCAGGGAATAGCTGCGCTCATGACGCCCTGCAACACACATCACAGTAAAAAAAACTGCACATGCAAGCACGCACGAACGAACGCACTTAAGTCACTAAAATCAAAGAGGCTAGATTGTCATCACGCCCTGCAAAACCTACTCCTGTACTACCCTTCTCACACAGAGGGCCATCTCTGAACAGGAAACACAAAAGCATTTAAGAAGGACGAGTAATTTCATGACTTTCTGTTATTATTTGCAATGATTCAATTCCTGATAACATGGAAGGTTAAGTAGTGAGTGACTCTTGGCTGCACATTGTGTTCAGTCGTGTCCCAGTACATCACAGCGTGTCAGTGTACTCAGGGAGACACGCCCACGGGGACACATAACACAGATGCTGAACACCTTGGTGAAACCCACCAGCACTGTTGTAGGGCCAACAGACCAAGCTTGAAGTGAAAGTGAGGTGGAATGGGGTTTAACGTTGCGTCAAAGATTATTGCACTTATATAGCGGCGTGCATGCACGAGTGTCTGTGGCTGCTTGTACTAGTTGGACTGATGCTGATTTATAGTGCTAGCCTATAGAGATACCATGCTGCAGTTTAATATGAATACCCCACTCAGACACAGGATTCTGATTCAGAGCAGACCAGTCCTTGTTTTCTCCCCTGAATGCAGAGCGTCAGACAGGGTAACAACAAGTACCATCTTTTAACATATTTTGGTATGATGTGGCCAGGGATTGAACCCAGGGCTCTCTGGGTGGACGCTCTACCACTGGACCACGGAGTGGACGCTCTACCACTGGACATCGGAGTGGACGCTCCGCCACTGGACCACGGAGTGGACGCTCCACCACGGGACCATGGAGCAGATGCTCCAACACTGGACCACAGAGCGGACGCTCCACCACTGGACCACGGAGCGGATGCTCCACTACTGGACCACAGAGCGGACGCTCCACCACTGGACCACGGAGCGGATGCTCCACTACTGGACCACGGAGCGGACGCTCCACTACTGGACCACGGAGCGGATGCTCTTCCACTGGACCACGGAGCGGATGCTCTTCCACTGGACGGAGGTGGTCACAAAGATAGAAGCAGATCTCGTATTTGACGTACGGTAGGCCTGTCTCTATTACTCGATTAACCAGTCACGGTATCATTAGAATCTTCATCAAGGCAAAAAAATGTGCAAACTGGTAGGGTATTTGTTTTCCTAGTTTAATATTATTAATAGTCATATGCAGCTTATCAATATTGATATTGCTACAGTCTGACTCTCATTAAACAGTCTGCAACAATCTATCGCTGACAATCTCATCACTGTCAGAGTGGTACGTACATAGCTAAGCATTACCATTTATATTCTTATTTTTAACACAACTAGTTAATGTGACTTCTTTCAGTGGCATTTAGTAGTTGGTGTGATGAAGAAAGACAGGTTCTATGGATGAACAACTTCTTTATTACAATTAGTGCGAAAACGAAACGTCGCACTAATTGTAATAAAGAAGTTGTTCATCCATAGAACTTGTCTTTCTTCTTAAGTTAATGTGATAAGATTAATTGCAAAACACTGCTCACCCATGAACTGAAAATGCCTTCAATATGTTTCATAGGAATCAGGAACTTATTACAATATTCATAATGCATACTGGCATGTCTTGGACCTGAGAGGAGTTTTAACACAATATAGCCAACCTGTTGAAATAATAATTGTCAAGCTCAAACACACAAAAAACCATGTTAACTCTCTAAAGAGGACACAATACTAAACAAGCAAACATGTTGTAAACACCATCACCAGTAGAAATTACACCTTTACTCACTGTGTTAATCCTATTACCAGCTGTCAAACCCAGCTGTAACTGAATACGTGCAGCCTGTACTGTGATATACTACTTGATTAAATATGTATTGCACTGAACCAACATATCACAACATCCCTACACAAGTTCTACATGTGGATCTGAATAGATTTCAACAGATGGCCTCTGAATCCCAGGAAAATAATATCTATCATACTGTCATTAACAATAACAGACATGAACTTTGGTACAACATGAGTATAGCAGTGTACAGCACGAGTATACCGTGTGTATAGCAGGAGTATGACAGGGAATATTCAGTCAGTCAAGAATTGAGCAATACTTCGAAGGCCTTTCTAATTTGTATTATTACAGTGACATATGTACTTCTATTAGAGAAGGCTTTGTTCTCTCAGTTAGGTTTTAGCAGTGGCTACAGACAACATGCAATTAATTTAATCAAATATTATATAAAATGTGAACAGTTGCTTATTGTAGAAATTATATTTTTTTTGAGAGAAAAAAAGAGTGGAAATAAAAATAAAAATAACTTTTTATTTTATTAAAAGAAAAAACACATAAATAATTTTTTTTCTTTTTTTTTTCTAATTATATCAATTGCATTAAATTGCTGAGTCCATACATAGATTAACTAAATCCTCGGCATCCCAGCAACAGGAGAGGTCAGTGGACCGTGACAACGCCTATCATGGAACTAGTAGTAACAGGTGTTGTGGCGAGAACTCCTGCTCCGCTCGCTGATCTCCAAGACAACATCTGCACACAGCTATCAGCTGATCGGTGACTGGCACATTATCACCAGCAAGCATTCAGAGTTCTCTGTTCTGTGAAGTGCTTTCATGTTACACACGGACATCAGCTGTCATTAAGCTGAGTGACATAGTGAACATAGTGAACATAGTGAACGGCATGTGACGCTGAGACAGCTACATCAGGACAGACAGACAGACTTGTGCCATTAGGGCAAGAACAGATAAACCGGTGTTTAACGCCACACTCAGCAATATTCCTGCTATATGACGGCGGTTTGTAAATAATCGAGTCTTGACCAGACAATCCAGTGATTGACAACATGAGCATCGATCCACACAATTGGAAACGATGACATGCATCAACCAAGTCAGAGAGCCTGACCACCCGATCCCGTTAGTCGCCTTTTACGACAAGCATAGTCGCCTTTTACGGCAAGCATGGGTTGCTGAAGACCTATTCTACCCCAGATCTTCACGCAAGCAGTGTAACTCCCCTGTGTGAAGACCACAGAAGCAGTGTAACTTTTACAAACCTGTAGAGGTTATGAATTCTCTGATGAAATCCTCCTTGGGGCACTTATTGCATTTTCCTTGCTCAAGAAAATCTATATGACATAGTTGTAACCATTTTCCTTAATAAAAAATGTTACCACACAAAAAACTTCGTTTTTGTATGATATACGACCACCCTTACGGGGCCTCACCCCCAACGGCGCCTCACGCCAGGGGGAGCAACTCTCACCCAAATCACTTTCCATATGTCAAATGCTGACGGAATGTGGGGAGGTGGGTGGCCGTGCCCCAAGGAGGATTTCATCAGAGAATTCATAACCTCTACAGGTTTGTAAAATTCTCTTTCTGATTAAATCCTCCTTGGGGCACTTATTGCATCAAGACAGACTCCCAAAGATAATCTAGGAAGTGGCATCCGTCAGCAACAGGCGTAAATAAATACATCGTATTTGATTATTCAACAGAATAAAATATTGAGTTCAATAAATGGAACCAACCTTATCGTGAGGCACCACCGTCGAAAGGCGGGGGCTAGAGACAGGGCGTGGTCGACCATATATTATGATAAAGCCTGTTTTTGCGGCTTGTCATAAGTTGAGAACTCGAAACACCTCCCACCCCCCCACACTTTTTTGAACAAGTGATATAAGGGCGTAGATCACGAGAGACCATAACCAGCGCTGAGCTAGGCCAGAGGGTCCCCGAGGATCGAAGGAGTGCGTGCGCAAAATACGAGTATTATCGAGTAGTAAGGACTGATATTTATCCACCGCAGAAGATAAAATCCGGACCATTACTGAGCAGTATAACCGGAAGACTGTCTAAAATCTCGAATGCTCAATCAGCTAGAGATTAGAACTTTGCCCAGTTCGGAGAACTGACTGACCAAACCGAGTACGCTCGCTTGAGTGTTTGTCGAGTTGGTAAGGTTTGATGAATCGTGCTCGGCTGGCTCCAAATAGCCGCGGAGCAGATCTGCTCAATGGGCAGAGCCGCGGCGTACGCTTTTGACGCAGCCACTGCTCTAACCTAATGAGCCTTCAACCTGGTAGGGGGGTCCCTGCCTGTATGCGTATACGCTGTACAAATGTTTGAAACTATCCACCTCGAGATAGATTGTTTACTCGCAGGTGAGCCAACCTTCCTACCGCAGTAACAGCAAAATAGTTGGTTATCCTTACGGACACCCATATTTCTGCTGATATAGGCCTTGAGAGTCGTGCGGACATCCAAGACATGAGCATGTCTTGCAGTGGTCCCCGACGAGGAAGGCTGTGAAAGAGCGGGTAGCTCAATAGGAGCCGTTCACGTGGAATCGTGTGCGACCCTAGGACGGTAATAGTCCGGTAGACGAAAACTGACTGTCCCGGTGATATTTATCGACCCCATGGAAGACAGTTATTTTGGGATCGGCTGACATAACACGAATGTCGCCTACCCGTCTGCCGGACGTTACCACCACAAGGAACGCCGTCTCCCAGCTCAACAGCTGAAGAGAGAGAGACGACAGATCCCGAAAGGAAGGACCGGACAGCCAATCTAGAATGATTGACAAGTCCCAAGGGGGACTGATCCGCCGGACTGGCGGTCGGATCCTGTCCACACCTGCTAAAAAGCGCTGCACTAATGGGTGTGCACCCAGAAGTGCCCCGTCGACAGGGACGTGAAAAGCTGCGATAGCTGTAGAGTACCCTCGGACTGTTGATGCGGCCAGGCCGTCATCTAGTCGCGACTGGAGAAACTCAAGCACGGATACGAGATCTGCAGAAAAAAGATCTGCAATCCCTCTATCGACACACCTGGGCGCATAGCAGGCCTATCTATCGTACTGAACGTTTGTCGAATCCCTCCGCGAAGCCAGTATTGTGTCTGCAACTCGTGCAGGAATACCGCTCTTCTGGAGGCGATTCCTGACAGTGGCCAAGCCACCCATTGAATCCTGAGATTCGGGTGGAGGGCCCCGTTCTGGGATAGGAGGTCCGGTCGTAAAGGTAATATAACAGGAGGCTGAGCCAGAAACCTGAGTATTACTGGAAACCCACTCTGCGCCGACTAAAGAGGTGCCAGGAGCACAATTAGTCGCGCAGGCTGAGTGCCTAGCTGAGACAGGACCTTGGAAATCAGAGGTACTGGGGAGAATGCCCACAGAACTGTCCGTCCAATCTAGCTGAAAGGCGTCCGGTGCCACCGACCTCGGGTCGTGGACTCGGGAGCAGAACGTTGGTGTCTGGTTATTTAACCCAGACGCAAACAGATCCACCTGTAACGACCTGTATAACAGGGAGAAAATCCCGAATATCCCCGGGTCGAGCCTCCACTTGTGAGGAGCGAGGATCCGGCAAGACAGAGCGTCCGCACGGACGTTGTCCACCCCCGGGAGATAAACAGGTAGCACCCTGATATCGTGAGAGTCGCACTATAGTAGGAACTGCCACGTCTTTCGTCGAAGCGACGGAGACGCCGTTCCCCCCTGCTTCCGGATGTAAGTCATCGCCGTTTGGTTGTCCATCTCTAGACGAACCACTTGGCCACGAAGCAGATCCGGGAAGCGTTGGAACACCAACCTGACCGCTCTCAGTTCTAGCACATTGATATGCAGTTTGATCTCCTGCTGGGACCATAGTCCCGAGGCAGTGTGATCATTCAGAACGCCTCCCCAGCCGGAGAGTGACGCGTCTGTTTGAACTGTGAGAGACGGAACGGGAGTGATTCCCGACCTCGGTCCACCACTGGAGGTGTGTAATGAGCCACTACGGAGTCTCGAGCACAGTCTCGAGATCTTCCGAGTTCGCCCAAAGTCGACGGAGTGCTTGTTGAATGGGACTCATTCTCAAGCGCGCCCGCCAGACCAAATCCACTGTCGCCGCCATGTTGTCCAGTAACTGGAGCCATGTACGAGCAGTGTGACTTGCGCTTAAGGGACTTGATATCTTGTGACAGAGATACACGTCCTCTCACCGTGTTGAAATTAGCCACTAGGAAGACTAGATTCTGAGTGGGGCTCAGATCTGACTTCTTGAGATTGACCATCCACCCTAGAGTGATCAGAATATCTATCACTTGTTGTGTAGCTATCTGACTCAGGGATTGCAATAGAGCTCTTAGTAACCCAGTCGTCGAGGTACGGATGGCAGAACCGACCTTTTGACCTGGCCACTTGGGCGGGAATCAACATCAGCTTGGTGAACACCCTCGGGGCCGTGGAGATCCCGAATGGTAGAACCCTGAACTGATAACACCTCCCGTCGAAAGAAAACCTCAGGTATTTCTTGAACTCTGGATGTATTGGTATGTGGAGATTGGCTAACGTCAATAGACTTAAAATACGCCTTTCTCCTGTCTCGACAGTTGAGATCACTGTTTGGTGACTAGGAAACAAGTCGAGTAGAAGCCCTCGCTTTCCTGTCCCTCGGGACCCGGTTCGATCGCAGCTTTCATAAGAAGTGCGTCGACCTCGGCACGGAGGAATTCCGCCTTCTCTCGGGTAGCAGGCACCGGTGTGTGCTTTATCCCGGAAAAGTGGAGGAGCGGATGAGTTTTCCCGATAACTTGCGACTATGGGTTCACCCGGGGCTCTTCGGGCGCTAATGGGAACCCATCGTTCCCAGCCCCGCGAAAAAGCTGTTGGCCTCGACCAGCTGCCTTGCCCCGGCCCGTGCCTCTCTTGCTCCTCACGGCGCCCTTATACCTGAAGGAAGCGGCGGCTTCCAAGCAGGTGTGGACGTCTGACCCGTGCGTTAGCGTAGGAGGGGACAATTGGAGAGGCCCACTTACGCGGTTTTAACGCTTGGTACCTCCAACAAGGCCTTATGAGTCTTTGATGGAAGTATACAATTGAGCAGCCTCTCGGACCGCCTGCTGAGCCCCAGGGAAGAGGGTGGCACCCTCTTATACGGCAAAGCAAGTAGGTCTTGGCGTGTGTAAGTCGAGTATTTAGATACCGACATCCACCGCCTGCGCATGCACATAACAGCGCACATCATCTGCGATGCACAGCTACGAATAGCGTCCCGCGCAAGATAATGTTAGTTGCGCGGCCAACTCCGAAGAGTCGGCCGGCCCCTCTCCCGGTAACTCCCTCTGTACAGCCGACAGATACGCGGAGTGTACGGACACACGGAGCTGTTGGCATGCATTATGATATTGCTCCTCGAAGCATATGTAAGCAGCCTTCAACTCCGCACCGCACACGGGAAAGGGGGGGCAACCGCCGGCCCTGCTTGACCTTAGTCAAGTTGGGTGTCTCCGACTCTGGCATGGGCGCAGCAACCTGAGGCAGTACATGGACAATCCTGTCCCGCACGTGTCTCTGCACCCGGCCCGAGGCCGAGTCCCGGTGCCGAGGTGCCGGAGGTTCAAGGGAACCCACCTGGCACTGGGCTAGGTATCCACTAGTGAAAGCCTTGGCCTCGGAAGAGGCGTCTGGCTCCGCTAGGGTAAATTGTGCGTCGGTAGTGCACGGGCCGGTGCCCGCCACCACTACGCTGGGGAGCGACCTCGAGCCGGAGCCGAAGCTCGGTCTCGGATCGTCCCCGAGACAAGGGGAACCAACCTGGCTCCGGGCTAGGTATCCACTAGTGGACGCCTCGGCCTCGGAAGAGGCGTCTGGCTCCGCTAGGGAAAATTGTGCGTCGGTAGTGCACGGGCCGGTGCCCGCCACCACTACGCTGGGGAGCGACCTCGAGCCGGAGCCGAAGCTCGGTCTCGGATCGTCCCCGAGACAAAGGGAACCAACCTGGCTCCGGGCTAGGTATCCACTAGTGGACGCCTCGGCCTCGGAAGAGGCGTCTGGCTCCGCTAGGGAAAATTGTGCGTCTGTAGTGCACTGGCCGGTGCCCGCCACCACTACGCTGGGGAGCGACCTCGAGCCGGAGCCGAAGCTCGGTCTCGGATCGTCCCCGAGACCAAGGGAACCCCCCTGGCTCCGGGCTACGAATCCACTAGTGAAAGCCTCGGCCTCGGAAGAGGCGTCTGGCTCCGCTAGGGAAAAATTGTGCGTCGGTAGTGCACGGGCCGGCGCCCGCCACCCCTCCGCTGGGGAGTGACCTCGAGCTCGGTCTGAGATCGTCCCCGAGACCAAGTTGCCTGCCTCGGCCGACGCCGGGCATATCACAAGGTCTCGAAGCCGCGTCCGGCGCCGACAACGGGGAAGGCTCGGTCCGCATCTCCTCTCGGAGCTGAGACTTTACCTCCTCCATCATCGACGCCATCTGCGACTTAAGTAACGCAGAAAAGTCTGCCAAAGACAGTGCAGGAGAGGGTGCAGTGCTTACTACGGGGACCCTCGAGCCTTCTCCCCCGGCCCCCGGAGAGGGAGCGGGGGAGACAATCTCGGCAGCTTTTTTACCCTTTTTAGATGGGGAGAGGGGGATGTCTTAGTAGATCTGATATCTACCCCCGCCTTTAATAGACCTCTTTAAAGTGGAACAAGTCAACTTGTCTCTTTTGGGGGCCCCGGGGGGTAAAGGCAATGTCCTCCGCCAGACATATTCGGCAGCGTTCGTGCCTGTCTTAGAACAACCCGTACACAGTTTGAAGGTCTTGTAAACAAGACCGTAATTTCTGAGGTGGGCGGGAAGGGTATCAACGTGTATCAGTGCGATATAAAGATCGGAAAGAAACGTGCATAAATTGTGAAACTAGAAGCAAAGGCGTAATGTAGAATGCGATTTGTAACGCGATACTAATAGCCAATGTGTAGTATAATTATAACACCAAAGGGGCGTGTTACGCGCTAAGGTGTAAAAACCCGTAAAAAAGGTAAGTGTAGTTTATGAATTAACACACCACCTTGGGTTTTGTAAAGGAAAAAATTGTAGACCAATGCTGTATGATATAACAAAACCCCAAGCCGTTTCTTAATGGCCTTGGTGTTACATGTATCAGCCCGTGGAACTACAATATGGACGCCATTACGGCCATTTGAATTCAAAGGTACCGTGCACGTGGCGTATTATTACAACTCTATAACTTCACAATGCGAGGTATTACGCCTTTGCAAAGAAAGAAATGTACCATACATACAGTTTGGTCAGCCATGGTTCTTGTCGAACGATAGATTTCTCTTATTTTTGTCTTGTGTGAAAAATCAACACGTCTGTCTCTTACAGATGACATAAGGAAAGTGATTTGGGTGAGAGTTGCTCCCCCTGGCGTGAGGCGCCGTTGGGGGTGAGGCCCCGTAAGGGTGGTCGTATATCATACAAAAACGAAGTTTTTTGTGTGGTAACATTTTTTATTAAGGAAAATGGTTACAACTATGTCATATAGATTTTCTTGAGCAAGGAAAATGCAATAAGTGCCCCAAGGAGGATTTAATCAGAAAGAGAATCACCTGTGTGAAGACCACGGAAGCAGTGTAACTCACCTGTGTGAAGACCACAGAAGCAGTGTAACTCACCTGTGTGAAGACCACAGAAGCAGTGTAACTCACCTGTGTGAAGACCACAGAAGCAGTGTAACTCACCTGTGTGAAGACCACGGAAGCAGTGTAACTCACCTGTGTGAAGACCACGGAAGCAGTACTCCAGGAAAGGCATGGTACCAGCGTCAGCGGCTTGCACCAGTTGGAGGCTGCCAGGGAGGCCATCTAGGAGAGCATCAACAGGGTGTCTACATTTATCATCCAAAACTGGCTCCCACAGGAGATATCGCTTGGATGAGATAAAGCGATATCTACATTGTAGATATCGCTGCAATGAAATTGCATCACAATGCTTTGCAGACCATTGTGATGTCATTGGTTAACATGACATCACAATCAAATTACATCACTAATGGCTCTGCTACAGAAGCTGTTAGCAGTACTTTTTACACTGAACATATTGCATATTTACTTTCTACAAACTGAAAAAGTTGGAAGAAGAATGATGTCAGATGATAAATAAAATCTCATCCTCGCGTCTTTTAATATAAAATATAACAACACTCATTGATAAAAGTGGAAATACTCATCAGCCTTGTAGTTTTCCCACTTTTATCAACAAGTGTTGATATATTTGATATCAAAAGACACTCGGGTGAGATTCTCTATATCTAAATACATCCACCTGCCCCTGGAGATATAAATACATCCACCTTCCCATGGAGATTAACATACATCCACCTTCCCATGAATTTACATACATCCACCTTCCCCTGGAGATTTACATACAACCACCTTCCCCTGGAGATTTAAATATATCACCTTCCCCTGGAGATTTACATACATCCACCTTCCCCTGGAGATTTACATACATCACCTTCCCCTGGAGATATAAATACATCCACCTTCCCCTGGAGATATAAATACATCCACCTTCCCCTTGAGATTTACATACATCCACCTTCCCCTGGAGATTAACATACATCCAAATTCCCCTTGAGATATAAATACATACACCTTCCCCTTGAAATTTACATACATCCACCTTCCCATGGAGATTTACATACATCCATCTTCCCCTGGAGATTTACATACATCCACCTTTCCCTGCAGATTTACATAATTCCACCTTCCTCTGCAGATTTACATACACCCACCTTCCTCTGCAGATTTACATACATCCACCTTCCCCCTTGAGATTTACATACATACATCTACCTTCCCCCTTGAGATTTACATACATCCACCTTCCCCCTTGAGATTTACATACATCCACCTTCCCCTGGAGATTTACATACATCCACCTTCCTCTGCAGATTTACATACATCCACCTTCCCCCTTGAGATTTACATACATCACCTTCCCCTGGAGATTTACATAATTCCACCTTCCCCTGGAGATTTACATACATCCACCTTCCTCTGCAGATTTACATACATCCACCTGCCCCTGGTGATTTACATACATCCACCTTCCCTTCCCCTGGAGATTTACACATATCCACCTTCCTCTGCAGATTTTCATAGATCCCCTGGAGATTTACATATATCACCTTCCCCTGGAGATTTGCATACATCCACCTTCCCCTGGAGATTTACATACAACCACCTTCCCCTGGAGATTTAAATATATCACCTTCCCCTGGAGATTTACATACATCCACCTTCCCCTGGAGATATAAATACATCCACCTTCCCCTGGAGATATAAATACATCCACCTTCCCCTGGAGATTTACATACATCCACCTTCCCCTGCAGATTTACATACATCCATCTTCCCCTGGAGATTTACATACATCACCTTCCCCTGGAGATATAAATTCATCCACCTTCCCCTGGAGATATAAATACATCCACCTTCCCCTGCAGATTTACATACATCCATCTTCCCCTGGAGATTTACATACATCCACCTTCCCCTGCAGATTTACATACATCCACCTGCCCCTGGTGATTAACATACATCCACCTTCCCCTGGAGATATAAATACATCCACCTTCCCCTGGAGATATAAATACATCCACCTTCCCCTGGAGATTTACATACATCCACCTTCCCCTGGAGATTTACATACATCACCTTCCCCTGGAGATATAAATTCATCCACCTTCCCCTCGAGATTTACATACATCCACCTTCCCCTGGAGATTTACATACATCCACATTCCCCTTGAGATATAAATACATCCACCTTCCCCTTGGAATTTACATACATCCATCTTCCCATGGAGATTTACATACATCCATCTTCCCATGGAGATTTACATACATCCACCTTTCCCTGCAGATTTACATAATTCCACCTTCCCCTTGAGATTTACATACATCCACCTTCCTCTGCAGATTTACATACATCCACCTTCCCCTGCAGATTTACATACATCCACCTTCCCCTGCAGATTTTCATAGATCCTCTGGAGATTTACATACATCACCTTCCCCTGGAGATTTACATACATCCATCTTCCCCTGGAGATTTACATACATCCACCTTCCCCTGCAGATTTACATACATCCACCTTCCCCTGCAGATTTACATACATACATCTACCTTTCCCTGGAGATTTACATACATCCACCTTCCCTTCCCCTGCAGATTTACATACATCCACCTTCCCCTGGAGATTTACATACATCCCCCTTCCCCTGCAGATTTACATACATCCACCTTCCCCTGCAGATTTTCATAGATCCTCTGGAGATTTACATACATCACCTTCCCCTGGAGATTTACATACATCCATCTTCCCCTGGAGATTTACATACATCCACCTTCCCCTGGAGATTTACATACATCCACCTTCCCCTGCAGATTTACATACATACATCTACCTTCCCCTCGAGATTTACATACATCCACCTTCCCTTCCCCTGCAGATTTACATACATCCACCTTCCCCTGGAGATTTACATACATCCCCCTTCCCCTGGAGATTTACATACATCCATCTTCCCCTGGAGATTTACATACATCCACCTTCCCCTGCAGATTTACATACATCCACCTTCCCCTGGAGATTTACATACATACATCACCTTCACCTGCAGATTTACATACATCCACCTTCCCCTGGAGATTTACATACATCCCTCTTCCCCTGGATATTTACATACAACCACCTTCCCATGGAGATTTACATACATCCACCTTCCCCAGGAGATGTTGAGGCATCTCCAAGCCTGGCCTGCCCCATCCCAGCCTGTGTGAGTCTTGGTCAGTACTTACATGTCCCCCCATGGAGATGCCGGTGATCCCGAGGGGCCCCCAGCCCTGATTTTCACACCAGTGCAAGAGCACCTGGGACTCCAGTATCAGGGCAGCTCCCATCACAAACAAGTCACTCACGTTATGGAGGCTCGATCGTCTGAAACAAATCAAACTGCCTTCAATTCTGATCCCGCTAAGAGGCACACATGATATGTAAACAACATCAGTGATATATCAGTCATATAAACATGGGAACAGTGTGACAGATTACTCTTGGAGAAAAGACCAGAGTAAGACTGGGAATGGCGTGGACTGAGCATGGATCATCATCAGCATGATCAGTATCATCAGTGTCATTCTGAGATTCAAACAATGGCCTGCGGATGGGGGACACAATTGATACTTGATCCAAAGCAAAAAGTCAGGTAAATGTCTTAGGTGATGAATAAGTCTGATTTCAGTTCTAATACAGATCACAATCATATATATATACTCATATTCAAGAGATATTATATTGGTTTGATGTGCCAACGAACATACTGGTATATATATATATATATATATATATATATATATATATATATATATATATATATATATACTTGTGTGAACCGATGCTCATGAACGCATCACATATGACGTCATCAATCCATGACTCGAGATGCACCATTTGGCTTGTGCAGGATTAGCGTGTAAAATTTGGAAATCACATACAGCATATTGTGACAAGAATAAAGTCACTCTGTAATAACACTTGACTGATTGCTAGTGTTGTCCTTAATTGGTACACATTTGAAACATCTCAAGTACCTATGAGACCCTGTCTTTATTTGTGATCAAGTGCATGTGAGACCCTGTCTCTATTTGTGATCAAGTACCTATGAGACCCTGTCTCTATTTGTGATCAAGTACCTGTGAGACCCTGTCTTTATTTGTGATCAAGTACCTATGAGACCCTGTCTCTATTTGTGATCAAGTACCTGTGAGACCCTGTCTTTATTTGTGATCAAGTACCTGTGAGACCCTGTCTCTATTTGTGATCAAGTATCTGTGAGACCCTGTCTCTATTTGTGATCAAGTATCTGTGAGACCCTGTCTCTATTTGTGATCAAGTACCTGTGAGACCCTGTCTCTATTTGTGATCAAGTACCTATGAGACCCTGTCTCTATTTGTGATCAAGTACATGTGAGACCCTGTCTATATTTGTGATCAAGTACCTATGAGACCCTATCTCTATTTGTGATCAAGTACCTGTGAGACCCTGTCTCTATTTGTGATCAAGTACCTGTGAGACCCTGTCTCTATTTGTGATCAAGTACCTATGAGACCCTGTCTCTATTTGTGATCAAGTACCTGTGAGACCCTGTCTCTATTTGTGATCAAGTACCTGTGAGACCCTGTCTCTATTTGTGATCAAGTACCTGTGAGACCCTGTCTTTATTTGTGATCAATTACCTGTGAGACCCTGTCTCTATTTGTGATCAAGTACCTAGCTGTGAGACCCTGTCTCTATTTGTGATCAAGTACATGCATAGTGTTCCAACTGGGTACTTACAACTGGTACTTTGGTTTCCTCTCCCCATCTGATGCTTCATAAGGAAAACACATGGCAACATTCACCATACGACAACCCTACAATTCAAGGGAGATAAGTCAGGAGTGAATATGGACAATGCTTATAGTTATAGATGGTAACCAACCACTAGGGTATCAAATCTCCCTTCCGTTGATGATGAACACCTTGGACCTTCTCGCCACCACTGCCTCGTTTCGAAAGTTTCTCTTATCACAAAAGTTCTCTGGCTCATGAGCTTGAGATCAACAACCATGGTTCAACATGCCGATTCTGAAGGTGAGTGCACCATAGATCTATCGTCACTCAAACTCTCCACCTTGTATGGGCAAGCCATTGACATATTTAATCAAATCAGAAGACTATTTTAAATGAACTGTTAGCAGTACTTTTTACACTTAAGACACTGCTTATTACTGTCTACAAACTGAAAAATTTGGAAGAAATATGTTGGATGATAAATAAAATCTCACCCTCATGTCTTTTGATATCAAATATATCAACACTTGTTGATAAAAGTCGAAAAACTCCTCAGAAAGCCTTGTAGTTTTGCCACTTTTATCAACACTCACATAAATCATGTTAATAGAGTGACACAGTTCTATCTTCCTATATTGGAGTTTATTGTCCTGCAGGTTCACATGGGTAGAAACAATGACATACATAACACAGCTCACAATAAACGATGGAATCGAGTGGAAGATTTAGTGCTTCTCATCAAGTGAGAGTGGAGTGTGGTTAGTTTGTATACACCAGTTCATCAAGCTGTGACGACAGTCTTAACCGTGTATGACTAAGTCATTGTGCTTAGCAACCTGTCAAATCTTCGTAAAATTATAAGCCAATCACTACAAACCCACACAGTGAAAATGTCCAGTACAGCAAATCACACAACACTGCTCATATACGTTCACAGAAATGCTCTTACACGTCTAAACACTAACACAGTGACCTGATCCATCTCATTTGGAATTTCCTGCTTTTGACAAATTTCATGGAAGTTAGATCACGTCAAACAGTTGAAGTTAAGTTTGTGATGACATTATTTAATCGAACAGCTATCACCCCATAAGTCTACAGTCTTAATGTTATCGTTTTCTTGTTAGTTTCTAAATTCAAACGTAGAGCTACTTCCATTAATTCCATGATATATTTTAGGCCAGGGGTCGACACTTGCATGAAATTGGTGATGCATTAATTTCACCATTTTCAGTACGAAATCATGGAATGGAAATATGATACACTGCATAATGAGGGATACCACTTATGCTGACGTCACATTATCACCCAGATGAGCAGGAAAAGGGAAAAAGCAAAAGTAAATATATTTCTGTAGAAGTACCATCTTCCGGAGGCAAGGGAGTTAACTGACTATAAAAGTTCAGTTTCCACTCATGCTGAACTATGCTGAAATTTCTTGGCTCGTTCGTAGCGCCACCAGTGATTCTTACGGGTTATGTCCCTTCTATTTCCCCACTACTGACCAATCAGATTCCACCTCTCATATCACTTTCATTTGCTTCAAACAAAATAAATGCAGGAATTGTTTGCTGGAGATCTATTCTAACACTGAATCCCCACGGGGCATGAGTGATATCTTCCTCCAGAACATCAGGCAATATCTGTTGCCTGGCAACACAGACAAGGATACAGTATGGGTTTTCCAGCAGTATGGATGCGATGCCGGCTTCCTTCAGGAGCGGCCGCGCCATCAAGGTTCTCCTCCGCCAGAAGAACTGTGGACATGAACAGTGAGAAGTGGAAGCTGACATCCAGAGGTGACCAGCAATAAGGTGGTCAGAGAACAGTAATGGACATCTCTATCAGTGTGGCAATCAAACTACGACACCTGTCTGACAATCAACCCGTGTAACTTCATGGCTACTTGCTGGAGATTCAATGTCCATTAGCACCCAGATTTAAGAAAGAAAGGGGGTTGTGCTTATTACTTTGTCATGAGTGGAAACACCAGTGTTGTTTTACGCTGCAGTCAACAATATTCCAGCTTGAAAGCTGGTTGGTTTGTTGTTTTACGCCGCACTCAGCAAAATTCCAGCTATATGACGGCAGTCTGTAAATAATCGAGTCCAGTGATTAATATCATGTGCATCGATCCACGCAATTGGGATCGATGACATGCATCAACCAAGTCAGCGAGCCTGACCAACTGATCCCGTTAGTCGCCTTTTACGACAAGCATAGTCGCCTTTTACAGCAAGCATGGGTTGCTGAAGACCTATTCTACCCCGGAATCTTCACGGGTCTCCAGCTTGAGAGCACAGTCCTGTACGAACAAATGTTTGTCCTTTGGCTCACATACAGTCCTGTTCTGAGGATGTACTGCATGTTTGTATTATACATGGTTTGTGAGTACTTGGCTGTGCTCTAAGAGTAAGACACATAGGACTTGTGCATGTACTTTATTGGGACAAAACTGCACCTTGACGTTTATTCTTCCAAATGTACCTTTTCATCCCCATGAAGTCACTCATCCTGCATCAATTACAAGGCTAGATTGTAATTAATGGATCCACAGCTCGTCTATTTAAAAATTAATGTTACAATACACCATGCGTATAACAGTGGTCTGTAAACAATAGAACTGAACCAGACAATCCAGTAATTGACATGACCTTTGATCCACCCAATATGGACACGATTTCATGTAATCAACCAAGTCACTGAGCCAGACCACCTGATCCACTGACTCGCCTCTTACGACAAACATGGAGCTTCTTCTACTGGAGATTGCAACACGATACCTGAGAGAGTATGGTACTACATTACCTCAAACACATAGCAACATTGTTACACACTTGCAAATTAATACTGTCCCAATTGTTGTAGGTTAAACTCACATGGTCTCCGGTGCCAGCCAGATGAAGACAGACAGGTTTTAACTTGCCATGTTTCCAATTCTTTGGCAAAATAATCTGAAAACTGTAAATGAAAAATAATAGAAGCAACATCTTTCCAAGTCTCATGTAACATACTGTGTAATATACTTTAACTTCCTTAGCTGTCAAGTTCGGGTTGAAAGATGAATTGAATTATCCAAACATCGCAGTTGTCCATTGACTGAAGCAATCCACTGATGACATGCTCAAATATCATCAGTAAACATCAATGCTGTGCCACACAATCCACTGATGACAAGCTCAAATGTCATCAGTAAACATTAATGCTGTGACACACAATCCACTGATGACAAGCTCAAATATCATCAGTAAACATCAATGCTGTGCCACACAATCCACTGATGACAAGCTCAAATATCATCAGTAAACATCAATGCTGTGACACAATCCACTGATGACAAGCTCAAATGTCATCAGTAAACATCAATGCTGTGCCACACAATCCACTGATGACAAGCTCAAATGTCATCAGTAAACATCAATGCTGTGCCACACAATCCACTGATGACAAGCTCAAATGTCATCAGTAAACATCAATGCTGTGACACACAATCCACTGATGACAAGCTCAAATGTCATCAGTAAACATCAATGCTGTGACACACAATCCACTGATGACAAGCTCAAATGTCATCAGTAAACATCAATGCTGTGCCACACAATCCACTGATGACAAGCTCAAATGTCATCAGTAAACATCAATGCTGTGCCACACAATCCACTGATGACAAGCTCAAATATCATCAGTGAACATAAATCTTGTTTTAATCTTGTTAAATACACTTTTATCATTTTCATGATACACAATGTTGTAAATATATTACTTATTCTTCAAAGTCATGATACATAAGTGTGTATTGTGATCTTAAATGATTGCTAGAATAACCAATTAGGATATAATGTACTTAGTTTAGCGACCATATTGTTATAAGGTGCTTTCAGTAATTTATATAGTTTATAGCTTGTAGCTGTATCTGCTACAAGACATTTATCGCTAGCAATAATTTATAGCTTACAGCCATAAATGTCGATAATATATTGTACAGTATTTTAGTACACTAAGTCTTGCATGAGTTAGTTGATTATTATGTACATAGTTCTATGAAACATATGCACTGGTGTAGTGCATATATATATATATATTATTATTATTATTACTGTGAGTGTGAGTGTGAGAGAGACTGTGCGCATTTTAAATACATGTTACTTAATTGTGTCATTTTATTATTAGTTAGGCATAGAGGCACATATAAAGCCATACTGTTGGCATTGACGTGATGAGCCTGCGTCCCTGAGACGAGGTTGGTACATGTATTTATGTGCTAATAGTTGTATGTATATATTGTTATACTTTGATGTGTATTGTATCATAAAGATGGTATTTGTAGTTGTAATAATATACTGATGGTTGTACTTAAATACGTACTTAAATTCATGCTCATGGTAAACAGTAAATGTAATATGTTTGTTTAATTATAGATTGTTCTAATTGTATATTACTAATTCAACCTTATTATAGTATGTTTGGGGGAATTATCCTCCATAGACATAGTGTGGTGGGATCTCCATATCCCCATCCCTAACAGACGGAATAAATCCGATTAGCCCCCAACAAGTATTCATCCATCGTCATTCCCCATACACGTGACGCTGCTGTTACATCTGCATATGTTCAAACTGTTGACACTGTATAATACTCACGCAGTTCTTTGATGAGTTAAATGTCAATGTATTGTATGTCTCATGGTCGTGGCTATGTAGGATATTTACTATAATGAATTTGAAGAGATGTGTCAGGGATAGAAACTAACAGTTTTAGTCCACTAGTCCTTATAATGATAGCATATAGCAAAACCCTTAAAAATGGCATATTTCTACTAGTCCTTATGATACCTTTACTATTGGGCTGTTTGGCAAGGACTACAGGACTAGTGCCAATTTCTAACGCTGTGTGTGTACTTAGACCTTTAATCAACAGAAGCCTGTACAAGTCTTGAAGATAAGTCCTTTTTCAGGAAGTGTGAAAACAATGGAAGGATAACTCTTTATGTAACATTTTTTACCTAGAATATGGATTGAGAGAGGCGTCCGAAAACTATTGCCTCGTAGGCGCGTGACACAAATGTTTACATGTGTTTATACATCAATGTTAGGTGATTCACATGAAGATTCTTCACCTTCAGGGAGTGTGTTGAGGGGGTATTTTGTAATTGAAATAGACACAGAAACACAGCCATACCAGACTTTGGGATGCACAATGCTTGTTAGGATCAAATCTCTTTGCAACATTGAGATGATAGGCTTAAGAAGGAACACCTCCCTTACCAACAATTAAACATTCCTGCATCATTTCATCTTGTGAGTCTTACTGTCAACTTCAAAAAGAGTTGATGACAAATCAATGTTAATCTAAAAAAACAAGCATGAAATACTCATATCCCCCACCACTATGACATGTCTGGTGGTGTGCCAGGCAAGAAATAGTGTACGGTGTTCAAGATCTGCTCAAGAAACGAGCACTACTGCCATTTTCATTTTAAGTCATGGAAACTTGAAAATGAACATTTTTAAAAAATCCAAAAACTATCAAAAGGCACCAGTTCACCACGAGACCTATCTATGTGCCACGTTTGGTTAAAATATCTCTCATGGTTTTTGTGTACTCCCGGAAATGAAACGTGAGGGATGGATAGAAGGACAGACGGACAGCACCCATTCATATATCCCCCTTCCACTTAATGGTGGGGGATAATAAAATATTTGTCTATCATTCATCTTGTAAGTGAGTGAGTATGGTTTTACGCCATTTTTAGCAATATTGCAGCAATATCACGGAAGGGGACACCAGAAATGGGCTTCACACACTATGCCCATGTCGGGAATCGAACCCGGGTCTTCAGCGTGATGAGAGAACGCTTTAAACACTAGGCTACCCAACCTCCCCCATTCATCTTGTGAGTATGGTCTAACTGTAAACTTCAACAAGGATCGATGACATATCAATCATAAAAAAATGAACCAGCCAACATAAGCTCCACCTGTACACTGTACCTACTTGGCTTTCTCCGATTCCACCGGCATGATCCCTGGCAGGAACTTGGTGAAGGGAGACTGGAAGTAGCCCTCCATCACGCGGCAGTCGTTCTGCACCTCGTCCTGCCAACATACAGCCACACCTTCTCACTACTCAAAGGCAGTTCACTGACAAAACAACATGGCTATGGTTCATGTAACTAGCGTTGGGACATGCTGCTCTAAATGGAAAAATCCTTATCATTGATTCATCACAAACTGACTTGCTTGACAGTTATCAAATTTATTCAATAATCCTTCTTTTTTTTGTCATTTTGAAATTTTGTATCTCCCCATTAGCCTGCTTGAACCAATATCAACCTGCCTTTAAAACAATTATTAAATTCCCATTTACAATTATGAAAAATAGTCTGCGCTACACTTTTATTGTAAGGACATTTAAAGAGGGGAAGTAACATTATGTGTCAATCCCCAAGGTATTCTGTGATTGCAGAATATTTTGCAGAAATGCCCACTCTATGCAGAAATATACCTACTTTGCAGAAAATCACATCTTGTATAGAACTCTTGCAGAATTTTGCATTTATCTGCCTCAGAATTTGAGAAAGACACTGAAGATTTTATCATGTGAGTCCAAAGCTGGTTTTCAACAGGCAAAGAGATAAGTCATTGAATGGAGTTAGAAGAGGCCTTTTGTAAACAGATCTTAATTTCATTTTGAAGTGAAGCTGACTTTCATATTATTGCTTACCGAAAGTGCATGTCTGTATGTTTACACAAGTGACCTCTAGATTCACTTCAATAAGCTATTCTGGCCATGGATAAGTATATCATAAATATGACTGCCACAAGTCAAACAGATGCAAAACAACTAAATTTATGAAAGCTAAGCTTAAATGCTTGCAGAATTGTGTGCAGAATTATCAAAATTTGGATGCAGAATTTACAAAATTGACTGTGAATTAATAAAAACATTTTGGCCACGTAATACAGCAGTGACTGGCCTATTGCCAGTTTCCATCTTTTAAGCACCCTTCTTTTTGCACATCTGAAGCTTGGGTCAAAGTCCAGTTTCCACCCTGTACCAAACTAGGCTGGATACTTCTGGGCTCGATCGTTGCGCCACCAGTGGTTATTATGAAAAGATTTGTATAATATCTTTCAGCCAAAACATAATGCCACAATTCCAGCCTAGTTTGGCAAGGGTGGAAAGGGTTTAATAGTCAGTTAACTCCCTTGCCTTGGGAAGATGAGTGAGTAATGATCACTGGCTAACACCTCATCACCAATCTTGCAGTTAATCGCTGTGCTGAAGCCAAGATACAGATACCTCAACCGCAAGCATCCTCATGCAGTAACGATAACAGTTCAGGGCAAACTATACTTTATTACACAACAAATCAGGGTCCAGTGAACTTTATTTCTTAAAAAGTAATTTAGTTGTGTCAGCCAGTAGTGTTCTGAATATCTCGAGGGCCAATGCGAACACTCTTTCTATTTTCTGCCAAAATCTTACTGTATGAGAGGTTGCTGAAAAGTTTTGAGCCTAACTATGATGGACTGTGTTGATGGAGTAAGTTGCTGCTATTTTCAACATAATCCCCTCCGAGGCACACCACTTCTGCCAACGATGCCGGCATGTCTGGATCCCACTGGTGCAGAAGGCTTCCTATGGTGCAAAACTTTCTCCACAGCAGCAATCCTGTCATCATAGTGCTTTCCATTGAATTTCCAGACAGGGTTTTTCAAACTTTGGGGAGCGGTTCAACAGTCAGGCCTTGAAGCCATGACAACAACAAACTTGTGCACAGATGCCTAGCCCTGGTGGAACATCACCCAGAAAACCGAAGCCATCACCTGTCAACTGAAGCCATCACCTGTCAACTGAAGGAACCAAAACCAAATCACCTCGGTCTGCTTCAAATTCTCTCAAGATGAACATTTCTGATCAGGAATAAGAAGCTTTGGACCCCACCAAGCTGAAAGCATTGTCATACCCAGTTCATTCCTAGAATGGTCTCAACTCTCTTGTGAGTGATGCCAACTGTATTGGCTACGTGATCTTTGTTGAGTTGTCAATCATGCATGATTATATCATGAATTTATCAGCATTATCTTTAGGGGTTTCCCTAATCTTGGATCATCTTTGAGGCTCTCTCTTCCATTCTTGAACTTCACTTCACACCTCTTAAATAGTGGCAAAGGAAGGAGAATCATCCCCTCAAGTTGACACCCTGTTTGCATGGAGGGCTGTTGGGAGATAGCCCTTTCAGGTGGAGATACTTGAAGTTGTTTGTTTGTTGTTTAACACCTATTCCACTTATATGACAGCACTCCGTAAATAATCGAGTCATTGATATCATGAGCATTGATCCACGCAATTGGGATATGATGACATGCAACAACCAAGTCTGCAAGTCTGACCACCTGATTGTGTTAGTTGCCTCTTAGGACGAGCACTGGTTGCTGAAGACCTATTCTAACCCTGATCTTCATGGGTTGGGATACTTGATGACTGTATGGTAGCCAATTTTGCCCATTTTCATCAATAGAGAAAGTCCTAGACCTGTACGTTGCTGCCTGGTTGTGTTTTTGGTTTGCAAGCATGGAAAGTATTCTACTTAATACATGCAAACTGTTGAGGGTGTACTTACATCCTTTGTAGTCATCATAGTATTAAAGACTCAGAACTTTCCAGCCACCACTTGTAATTCTGCACACAAGGGATAACTAATTCTGCAAGGAAGTATTAACATCCTCTGCAATTGTGGATCAGATCCTTACAATCACAGAACCCTACCATTAATACTGAGACTGTTGGAATTCAGCAATACCAACCTTAGTAATATGAACTGGGTAGTCGTTTGGCACAAGGTGCTTGCATGTTTCCCGATTTGATATGATTTTTCTGAACTCAAACAATCTGAAAAATAAATTCAAACAATTTACTAACATTTAAGATGAACATTTCTTGTTGTCAAAGGAACAGACTTTATTAACGTAACTAAATACTTGATATGTCGGAATTTATGTTTATCACTGTTTATATTAATATAACATATTCAACAATACTTCATTAGCCATTGATTGCTTACATATTTCATATCAAATAGCTGTAAGCAAGGACAGCAGGGATAGACATTGTTTTCTTCAACATTTTAGTAATTTCACATTAGTTTGTTTGTTTGTTGTTTTACGCCGCACTCAGCAATATCCTAGCTATATGACGACGGTCTGTAAATAATTGAGTCTGGACCAGACAATCCAGTGATTGACATCATGAGCATCGCAATTGGGATCGATGACATGCATCAACCAAGTCAGCGAGCCAGACCACCCAATCCCATTAGTCGCCTCTTACGACAAGCATGGTCGCCTTGTAAGGCATGCATGGGTTACTGAGTATCTATTCTACCCCGGATCTTTACGGGTCTATTTCACTTTAAACACTTGTCCATGACTGGTTTGATATGGCCAATCATGTTGACCCTGCTGTCATCAATTTCCTACCTTTGCTATTTGTAAACATGGTAGAGTATGGTTACACTGAAAAAATTCAATTGACCAAAACATACTTAAACATGAACATGAAAACTCACAAATCATCTGACAAACTGACCAAATCATCACTGAAATTCAATCCTGCAGTTATTCATGAATTTAACTTATCACAGCACAAATATGCCAAAAACCAGAGAAAGGTTCGTTTGTCCTTCAATCGATGTCGCATCCAGCTTTATTCCAGCAATACCACAGTGGCCTGTAAATAATTGAAACTGGACAAGACAATCCAGTGATCGATATTGGGAGCAATGATCCACATCGTCGGGGTACGAGTCTGACCACCTGATCCATTTGGTCACTTCTTACAGCTAGCAGAGGTTGCTTGGGCCAATTTGGACCCAGGGTCCAAAGGAAGCTGATTTTGTTGCATGTTTAGTAATAGAATATTTATCGTCCTCATTGATTGCCAATTACTTGCCAATCAACCTCAAATGGCCGATGGGACCCTTGAGCCTTGGACAGGCAAGAGGGGCTTAGTACATTGTCTGACATTGATTTCAACAAACCTTTTGAGATTTTCCGGTTTCCCCCAACCTTTTGTGAAGAACTTGGTGAGGAGGAGACGTCGATACATATAGTCAAACTTGCTCATGATTGTTCCTGTTTTCTCTTCTTGATGTCAGTGAAGGCGATTACTCAGACTGACACCAGAAGTGATGAATTAAACCTGAAAGACAGATTCTTTCTTATACTTCACAAGTAGGAGTAGTGCACTTTACTGGGCCCACTTTTTCAGATCCACTTAGTGCTGGGGGGGCTCGAACGCGCTTGGCTAATGAATGCATGAATTAAAAAAGCTGATGCTCTACCACTGGACCAAGAGCGCTAACACATGTAATCAGTGCTTGTTTAACGAGTCATTAGCACCCCATTAACAAGCATGCGTAATTCAGTAAACAATGAATTGTGCATGCGTGTGATGTCACGGTCCGCTCTCCCATTCACCTTTTCTTGAAACCACACCCGCCATTGTTTATGTCAACATGACCGACCAATCGGATTAACCGGATTTACACTTGAAAAGGTAAGAATTTATGGCTAACCCTTGTCCAAAGCAAGCTGACCCTAAGGACCAAAAAGGGTGTTGGATGGTAAAGACGTGTAAGTTTCCCTAAGACCAAAAACGGGTGTTGGATGGTAAAGACATGTAAGTTTCCCTAAGACCTAAAATGGGTGTTGGATTGTGAAGCAAGAGTCACCGGAGTGTGAGGCACGGTAACGGTATAGCTAGACGGCGGTGGCACTATAGCACGGTAATTGAGTGGATGGTAGAGCTTGGACTGTGCCCGGTAAACTGCATTGTTGCCTCACAAGTTACAGAGTTAGCAAATGTCTTGGCTTACGTTGAAAAGTCAACACAACATGTAACATATTTGTGTTATCATTGATCAGGTGGGTAAATATATTCCAGTATATCAACACACGATAAGGATTACATGTTAATGTTCTAAACGTCAATGTACATAATTTCATTTTTAATTTGTGGCTGACTGCCTGGATATCGTGGACAATAATTGAGAATAAGTGTAAAATGAAAAAAAGGGGGCGGGAAAGTTCATTCTTCGCCAACAATTCTTTCACAAAATGCAGGTGTTACATAAAAAAATTATAAAAAATACCAACATAAACGAAGCTGTTTCGAAATACTAAGTAAGGGAGGTCATGACCGATATATGTGTCACTGTAACAGTTCGTCTGTCAGACGTGATAGCCAGCTGACAACACATTAAAATCCAAGTCATCGGAAAACATTTCATAAATATAGGAATTGAACCATATATGTTCTTTGTAAGTGCATGTGCATTATGAGCTGGGACAATGCCCATATTTTTATCAGTACAGTTACCGCAAGTGATAGGTCACAAGTTACAACGAACTTGACCAACCGCCATTTTGTAAAGAAGAGCAGACGTCTCGTTTTTTCACGTCAGTTGGCACTTCATGTGGACTGTTCTGGGTCAATGCAACGACCCCTAACAATCTCGAATACATGAAATATTAAACAGATTTGAAGTACAAATATCAACTCTTGTAACATTAACACTCTACAAGGTATACAACTTAGAAAATCATTAACCGGAAGTGAACATCACATGATACCAAACGAGAACTGAAATTAACGGAAGTTGCATGTGCTCCCTGTCGGCTGCTAGAAGTGGCAGCGTCACGATGTTACAACCGATTATGCACGTTTTGAACGTTCAAAGAATTATTCTCGCATCAGGATCCCCTCGGAGGATGCAAATCTTACAGAATATTGTAACATATAGTCATGTCAATGAAGCGTACTTTCATGAGCGACGAAAGATATTTGTCCTTTTGGTCACGATTTCAGAGGAATCTATTATTTCCAGTTTGTTTGTATCGGTCTATCTATTTAACAACAACAAAGTCATAGCCAAGCTAATTTGGAGAAAACAGCACAATGATTGACATAAATGAACTATTTTCCAAACAAGCATATACGTTCGAAACATAGGCAGCTGTAAACAGTAATTTTGGGGCTAGTTTTACTAGCCTAATACTGATTTCTAAAGTGGCTATGTTTTATGCTATTTATCTTCATTATAGTTATTAACAATACTTTATAATCATAATCTATTATGATTGATATGGTAGATCTTTGGTATGGAGCTGTATATGGTAGATGACTGATACGTCTCCCTGCTGCTGATAATAGTGATAATGGCAAACCTCAGAGAGAATCAGCACCACAATATATAGTTTACAAACATGTCACAATACCCTATGACATAATTTGTGAAAATTTGTTGCAAAACACAGGTGAAACAATGCCTTGTGACGTCAGCCTTTCAGTAGAGTTGCTGAGGTCATCAAGTGTGTATTAGCTCCTCTCAGTGACAAATTTTCATAGAAACTGATTGCTTGTCTTAGTGACAACTGACCTATGGCAGAGATCGTCCTCATGAGTTGTGCTGCTGTATTCTAAAGGTCCTCAGATAATAATATCCTATACTGGCTGATTAAGGTGTATATTCTTGGGGCAGAAATCTATATTCTATGAATTTTACAATTTCTATTGCATAAATAGAACTTCTACATTTCTTTTTCAGGGGTTACAATTTGAAGCTGTACCCTCAACGTTCGAAGAGAATCTGGATAAAAGTTTATTTCCACACCCAAGTGATTATGTCAAAGAGAATGCAAGACTTAAAGCATTGGAGGTTGCAAACAAGTTGGCTGGTGATCAGGTGAAGATTTAGAATAAGCAGTTGAATATGACAAAAAAGTACAGCAGTACATCATAACGGTATTGGTGAACAACTTACGATCTTGTTGAAATTTCACACGTTTTTAAACATATGTATAGTTAGGATCTTTAAATCCCTTCAACATATCCCTTCAAATACATGTGAGGTGGTGGGGTAGCTTGTTGGTTAAAGTGTTCGCACATCAAGCTGAAAGCCCAGGTATGAATCCCACATGGGTACAAAGTTATTATTGTTGGTCTGGTTATTATCATTATTTACCACAGGTATCCAGGAACTAGTATCTGTTCACATGCGGTTTTATTTGTTCCCTGACCAGTTGACCTGTTTGCATTCCATTTATCATTCTTACAACCTGGGCCCGATTCCTCAAAGCAATCGTAGCGCTAAGGTGATCGTAAGTCCAAAGCTTTAACATAGACTTACGATCACTGTAGCGCTAAGATCGCTTTGAGGAACGAGGCCCTGGTCACTAGCAAGATATGATCTCAGCACCTGATGGTTTTGACTGCTTGCTCACTCTTCCCGACATGGGTACAATGTGTGAAGTCCATTTCCAGTTTCCTCCACCATGATATTGCTGGAATATTGCTAAAAAGTGGCATTAAACCATGCTCCCGGCCATGGAAGCTGTGCCAATTTACACTTATCAGAGGGGTACACAATGTATGTGATCTATACACATGGAAATTAGTTAAGCAACACCCGTATATTCTCAGACCGGGCAACTTTAATGAACTAGTTAACCCGAACAACTGCTTCAAGATGCCTCCTCATTCTTTGGATCAATCTCTGGATTTGACTCTGAGAAATTCTGTCCCATTTCTCATGCAAAGCAGCAGTCAATTCATTGAGTGTATGGACAGGTGGGTCTCTTTGTCGAACACGACGGCCTAAAATGGAACAGAATTCCTCAGAATCAAATCCAGAGATTGATCCAACCAATGAGGAGGCGTCTTGAAGCAGTTGTTCGGGTTCAGGGAGGTTACACAAGATACTGATTGAAAGTCAATATTTCGACTTGCAGGACATTAGTCTTCAATTCCGTGAACCAGAAGTGTGCATGGTACTGACAGTTAAGTCTGTGCAACAAAAGTGACATTCGTAATGTTTTGGATGAAATTAAGTGATTTTCCAAATTCTCCAAAAAAAACCAAATTATTTCATGGTAATCTTGGCTATGTTCCTCCTCAACCCTTTCTTTTCACTAAATAATTTATTTGCTATGGAAATCTTTTACACATTTCATGCACCAGGTCCATAAAGTTGCTCAATCTGAGAATATACGGGTGTTGCTTAACTAATTTCCATGTGTATAGACTTCCAGTTGTCGGACTTTCATTTTGTGGAAGCCTCAGTGTGGGTTAGATTGCTGACCTTGTGTACTGGCGATTAGGTGCCTTACTGTGGATGTCTGGTGTTCGAATTCCGGATGGGACTTAACCCCCCAAAAGTATTGGAATCTGTAATTTACTCAGAAAGTGTTTTCCCAAATATAACATGTGTCTTGAACGAATTGATCATAGCGCCACCCACTGCCAAAAGAAAGATATGTATAGACATAGTGTGTGAAGTATTAATACACTGTAAGAGCGACCTGTTAAGATCGGGGATAGAATAGGTCTTCAGCAACCCATGCTTGCCGAAAAAGGCGACTATGCTGGTCGTAAGAGGCGACTAACGGAATCTGGTGGTCAGACACGCTGACTTGGTTGATGCATGTCATCGATCCCAATTGCGTGGATCGATGCTCATGATAGTACTGGATTGTCTGGTCCAGACTCGATTATTTACAGACCGCCGTAATATGGCTGGAATATTGCTGAGTGCGGCGTTAAACAACAAACCAACCAACCTGAAGTGGTCACCTGTCCATACACTGTCTACTCTGCAGCCATTTTGTCCACATGACCCCTGATGTGTTTGCCTTATAATACAAATAGTCGTTAAAGTTTGTTATTAATTTCTGTGGTGTCTTTCTACAGATTGTTCCAGACCTGGTGATTGGGGCTGACACCGTTGTTGCCATGGACAACACAATCTATGAAAAGCCGAAAAGTCGAGATGATGCCATCAACATGTTAACTGGGTAGTGTGTTGAGAGTGAACTTTCTTAATCTGTCTGACTGGGATGACAAGCAACGAAAATGAAATGCAAAACAGATTGAAAAAAATCAGTTTGCATCTTAAATGTAATTTTTTAGCGGCCTTCCAATTACAGCCTTCCAATTAATAAATCCAAAAATCCAATTAAGGCTAAAAAAAATAGTAGTCTTGGTTCTCGGGCACCGCCAGCATCATCATAAAGTCTGCCGCACGTTTCATTTTTATTTCCATTTAAAAAAAAAAATGAAAAAAATCCTAATGCTGAAAAAAAAAAATGCACTCCAATATAGCACACAGTTACTTCACTTTACATGCTCACTGCTTTACTGCACATCTCGTGTTATGGTCATGGCGGCAATAGGAGTTAGTATGCTTGTTTATGTAGGGAGGCTCTTTCTCAGGTTGATGGTACATTACTTCTTTTTTTGTTATTTGCTTACATACTAGTTTGTACAAGCCACCTAAAAACACACACCCAGCCCGCATTTTATTTTCAAAAGTCATTGTCGGAGAAACAATTCTTTTATTCTTTTAAGCCTAATGTAACTTTCTGTTCGATAACTTGTTTTTGTATTGCTTTGCAAAGTGTTTGACCATACAAAAGTCTGTGTTGTTATTCCTTGTGTCAGGTTCAGTGGGCGAAGTCACACGGTCTACACTGGAATTGCTCTCGTTTCACCTTTACAGTCTTCAGGTAAAGTGGACTTATCACAGGGTATGAAACTCCCAAAAATTTCAGCCAGACCACAGGACTGGCTAGCTGAAATACTTGCCAGCCCTGACCAAAACCTGCCTGCCCACTATAATCATATGTTTCTTAGGATAAGCTAATGGGGTTTCTTTTTGGTTACATTTTATCATTCATCTTTACATGTGAATTAATGCTTATCATCGGGAAATATTTTGAATATTTTCAAATATGAAATATAACCCGACCGTCGGGCAGGGGGATTTGAAAATCTGGCAGCCCGAGTTGAAATCAACCCGTCTCGGATGGTCGGGCAGGCAGGTATTTCGAACACTGCTTATCAGTACTGCTGTGTACTCAGGGAGAGGTAGGACTAAGTTTACCAGGGTTGGCAGAACAGTTCCAGCCTAACAATGATGGACTGCAGTGATGGAGTTGGTTGCAAATTGGTATTTACCATAATCCCCTCCAAGGCCCACACATGGCTGCCAATCTATGCTGGAGTACATGGATCCCACTGGAGTAGAAGGATTCGTCCTCGGGGTGTAAAAAGTCCACAGCAGAAATGATGTCATCATTTGCATAACACATTTCACACAGGTCTTTCTTCAAGTTTGGGAGACTGCCTCCGTGGTCTAGTGGTAGAGCGTCCGCACGGAGAGCGGAAGTTCGGGGGTTCGATCCCTGGCCGCGTCATACCAAAAAACGTTAAAAGATGGTACTTGTTAACCTGTTAAACTGCGGCATGGTATCTCAGTGAACTAGCATTATAAATCAGCATCAGTCTGGACTAGTACAAGCAGCCAAACAAACACACACACGTACATGCACGTCGCTATATAAGTGCAATAATCTTGGACGTGACGTTAAACCCAATTTCACCTCACTTCAAGTTGGGGAAGAGGCAGAGATATGATGGTGCCAAATATGGTTCATACAGAGAATGCTCACTGAGTTCAAAGCCTCACTCATGCATTGCAGCCATTGGAGATAACAGACTTGTTCACAGGTACATTGTCCTAGTGGGTCTTTCACGATGTTTAGCCTTGATATTCTCACACAGTTGCCTCAGCAGTTTAACATAATATTGGTCATTGATGATCTGACCTTACAGGAGGCACTCCACCAGTAGGATTTGTTGTGGGCAGTTGCAGGGTTTCCCGATCTTGGATTATCTTTGCGGTTCTTGCTTTCCCACATGAGTTTTTCTCCCAACCTCTTAACAGTATCTTATCAGGAGTATCATTGACATTATGTCGGCATGGTTTGTTTTGTTTGTTTAATGCTGCACTCAGCAATATTCCAGCTAGATGACGGTGGTCTGTAAATAATCAATTCTAGACCAGACATCTAGTGATTGATATCATTAACATTAGGGCTGGGACGGGTAACCCGGGTACTCGGGTCGGGTGGGTCCTGAGTAGAACCCGGGTACCCACAGTACTACCTGGACCCATGGTTAGTCACGTGATATATTGCTTAATGACAAAAACTCACTATGGTTCAGTGGTTTCACTACAAGTCGCTAATGTTCTCTTTTTTTCTGACGATGCACTCATTCCTTTTGACTTGTATATGTTTGAGTAAAGATAAAGCTTCAGTCAATTTCATTGTACGCATGATGTGATCGTTTCATAAGAGACCATATATCAATTATATGGTCTCTGGTTTCATACATGTATCTTAACAGTTTTTGCCAGGGCTAAGGTTAAACTATTCCCAATTAGACGTGTTCCCAACTCTTGAGACCTACAGTGGGTACCCGGGTAGGGTCGGGTAATCGGGGGTCGGGTAGTAAATTTAGACTCGTCCCAGCCCTAATTAACATCGATCTATGGTATTGGGACATGCATCAATCAAGTCAGCAAGCCTGACCACCTGATCCCGTTGGTCACCTCTTACGACAAGCATAGTCACCTCTTCCAGCAAGCATAGTCACCGCTTACAGCAAGCATAGTCACCTCTTCCAGCAAGCATAGTCACCTCTTACAGCAAGCATAGTCACCTCTTACAGCAAGCATAGTCACCTCTTACAGCAAGCATAGTCACCTCTTACGACAAGCATAGTCACCTCTTACAGCAAGCATAGTCACCTCTTACAGAAAGCATAGTCACCTCTTACAGCAAGCATAGTCACCTCTTCCAGCAAGCATAGTCACCTCTTACGATAAGCATAGTCACCTCTTACAGCAAGCATAGTCACCTCTTCCAGCAAGCATAGTCACCTCTTCCAGCAAGCATAGTAACCTCTTCCAGCAAGCATAGTCACCTCTTACAGCAAGCATATAGTCACCTCTTCCAGCAAGCATAGTCACCTCTTACAGCAAGCATATAGTCACCTCTTCCAGCAAGCATAGTAACCTCTTCCAGCAAGTATAGTCACCTCTTACAGCAAGCATATAGTCACCTCTTCCAGCAAGCATAGTCACCTCTTACAGCAAGCATGGGTTGCTGAAGACCTTGATGCCTGGTTTTGTAGCTGGATCAAGTGCAGCCTGTAAGCATGGCAAGTATTACACTTGATGCATGCACACTGGGAATTGTACAGTATACATTCTTTGTAATTAGGCTGAGAACTTTTAGGCCACCAGCATCATTAATTTTTTGACCTACGTTGTCTGTAGTTTACCAGGCTGTGTTTCTATCAGTGTTGTATCAATGAGGGGACAGGTCTCCCATTGACCTGAAGCAGAGAAGGGACACAATTAGTTGTGCAGAGTTGCATCCCCTTGTCCAAATGTTCTGCAGCTAGCCTTAGATATTCCAACATCGTCAGGCACTCTCCAGCGCAGTGGTGACTCAGCATAATGTTCTGCAGCTAGCCTTAGATATTCCAACATCGTCAGGCACTCTCCAGCGCAGTGGTGACTCGGCATAATGTTCTGCAGCTAGCCTTAGATATTCCAACATTGTCAGGCACTCTCCAGCGCAGTGGTGACTCGGCATAATGTTCTGCAGCTAGCCTTAGATATTCCAACATCGTCAGGCACTCTCCAGCGCAGTGGTGACTCGGCATAATGTTCTGCAGCTAGCCTCAGATATTCCAACATCGTCAGGCACTCTCCAGCGCAGTGGTGACTCGGCATAATGTTCTGCAGCTAGCCTTAGATATTCCAACATTGTCAGGCACTCTCCAGCGCAGTGGTGACTCGGCATAATGTTCTGCAGCTAGCCTTAGATATTCCAACATCGTCAGGCACTCTCCAGCGCAGTGGTGACTCGGCATAATGTTCTGCAGCTAGCCTTAGATATTCCAACATCGTCAGGCACTCTCCAGCGCAGTGGTGACTCGGCATAATGTTCTGCAGCTAGCCTTAGATATTCCAACATCGTCAGGCACTCTCCAGCGCAGTGGTGACTCGGCATAATGTTCTGCAGCTAGCCTTAGATATTCCAACATCGTCAGGCACTCTCCAGCGCAGTGGTGACTCGGCATAATGTTCTGCAGCTAGCCTTAGATATTCCAACATTGTCAGGCACTCTCCAGCGCAGTGGTGACTTGGCATAATGTTCTGCAGCTAGCCTTAGATATTCCAACATCGTCAGGCACTCTCCAGCGCAGTGGTGACTCGGCATAATGTTCTGCAGCTAGCCTTAGATATTCCAACATCGTCAGGCACTCTCCAGCGCAGTGGTGACTCGGCATAATGTTCTGCAGCTAGCCTTAGATATTCCAACATCGTCAGGCACTCTCCAGCGCAGTGGTGACTCGGCATAATGTTCTGCAGCTAGCCTTAGATATTCCAACATCGTCAGGCACTCTCCAGCGCAGTGGTGACTCGGCATAATGTTCTGCAGCTAGCCTCAGATATTCCAACATCGTCAGGCACTCTCCAGCGCAGTGGTGACTCGGCATAATGTTCTGCAGCTAGCCTTAGATATTCCAACATTGTCAGGCACTCTCCAGCGCAGTGGTGACTCGGCATAATGTTCTGCAGCTAGCCTTAGATATTCCAACATCGTCAGGCACTCTCCAGCGCAGTGGTGACTCGGCATAATGTTCTGCAGCTAGCCTTAGATATTCCAACATCGTCAGGCACTCTCCAGCGCAGTGGTGACTCGGCATAATGTTCTGCAGCTAGCCTTAGATATTCCAACATCGTCAGGCACTCTCCAGCGCAGTGGTGACTCGGCATAATGTTCTGCAGCTAGCCTTAGATATTCCAACATCGTCAGGCACTCTCCAGCGCAGTGGTGACTCGGCATAATGTTCTGCAGCTAGCCTTAGATATTCCAACATTGTCAGGCACTCTCCAGCGCAGTGGTGACTTGGCATAATGTTCTGCAGCTAGCCTTAGATATTCCAACATCGTCAGGCACTCTCCAGCGCAGTGGTGACTCGGCATAATGTTCTGCAGCTAGCCTTAGATATTCCAACATCGTCAGGCACTCTCCAGCGCAGTGGTGACTCGGCATAATGTTCTGCAGCTAGCCTTAGATATTCCAACATCGTCAGGCACTCTCCAGCGCAGTGGTGACTCGGCATAATGTTTGCCTCATGAAAGGTGATAATCAAGGTTCAAAGTTCTTCAACGTGAGGCTGCAATAAATTAATCTATTCTCTGTCCTTAAGGAATTTAGAATATTCAGTCTGTGAATGTTTCATAATTCAGCCGGGGCGGTCAGGTAGCCTAGTGGTTAAAGCGTTCGCTCGTCACGCCGAAGACCCGGCGTAAAACCAAACTCACTCACTCACTCATAATTCAGCCATTGTTTGCAGCTTTTTTAATTCCACATTCCTTGACCCCCGAAACATTTGACCTGGGACTAGCATGTGCTTTTGCCATGGATGCATAATCCAAATTCTTTTTAGACCAACCTGTGATGATCCGGGTAAGAATAGGTCTTCAGCAGCCCATGTTTGCCGTAAATGGTGAGTATGTTTTTTGTAAGAGGCGACTAACGGGATTGGGTGGTCAGGCTCGCTGACTTGGTTGATGCATCCCAATTGCGTAGATCGATGCTCATGAAGTCAATCACTGGATTGTCTGGTTCAGACTCTTTTATTTACAGATTGCCGTCATATACCTGGAATATTGATGAGTGCTGCATTAAGCAACAAACAAACAAACAAATCTCTTTAGACCATTGATAGTTCATTTGTCAAGCTGATGCTGATGTGATGTTAAGTACAGCCCTCTTCAGATGAAGAGCTCGAGAAAGTTGTTTGTTTTGTTCCAGTAATTACAAGTGGCGAAGTAACGGAGGATGGCAAGTTCCGACTGAACCTATTCCATGAAGCCACCGATGTGATGATGACCGACCTGACCGAGGAGGTTGTCAAGATGTACATCGACACCGGAGAACCAATGTGAGTTGACATGTCAGCCAGTGTTACCACAACAAACAGAATGTTGCTAAGCCAGAATTTTCTAGAGTAACCAACAAAAGTAACAAAAGGGTAAACATAAGAATAGTTCTGTTTAGTGGTAGTTCTCAGAAAATAACCATAAACTGGTGGATTGTCAACCTGGTAGCTCCTGACCATTAGGTGTGCAACTTTTCAAAACTTACAGTCCGACAGCATAATAACCTATCTCAGACTGTTGGGCAGGTTGGTATTTTAAACACTGTGTCAGCCATATTAATACTTAACTATTACTATTACTTTACTATTGTGGAACTTGATTTGTTGACAACTCCTCTGTGGTCTAGTGGTAGAGCGTCTGCCCAGAGAGCAGAAGGTCCGGGGTTCGATCCCCGGCCGTGTCATACCAAAAGATGTTAAAAGATGGTACTTGTTATTACTCTGTCTGGCGCTTGGCATTAAGGGTGTAAAACAAGGACTGGTCGGCTCGCTCGGAGTCAGTATACTGTGTCTGAGTGGTATATTCATGTTAAACTGCGGCATAGTGTCTCAGCGGGCTTGCACTATAAATCAGCATTAGTCCGGACTAGTACAAGCAACCACACACATGTGCATGCACATCGCTATTTTAGTGCAATAATCTTGGACGCAACGTTAAACCACATTACACCTCACCTGATTTGTTACAGTTCTTTCAGCCCTTAGTTCAACCAATAAATTGGTAAATGTAGTTTTCAAGTAAATTGATGCCCCTATTTATTGCAGTAATCTTCAGGGTCAATAGATCAATAACAGTAGTGGGCAGGGCCGACTTTGTCCTGTCGGCAAGCGTCATGCCTGTGTAGTTCTTCATCAAATTGTTGGTTATCCAACATAAACAAATAAGGAAGAGGATTATGGATGTCAACTTCTTTAGGAACACAACGTTTTGGAGTATATGCTTACTCCTTCATCAGGTGAATGGATGCTATGAGGCAGAGAGCATAGTGGAAACTTAACAAGGGAAGCCAACACTTTACAGTAATTAGCACTGATAGTTAACTATTGACCTGAAGCACAGAGCTATCTGCGCTAGTTATTGCGAAGTGTTGCTGAACACCTAAATATTTATAAGTAGGAACAATTTCTGTAATGTCAGTGCCAAACCGAAACTTTTCATATCTTCGAAGACGCCCACTACGTCTAAAGACAATAACTTTACTTTTTCTTATATTAATAGACAATTTCCATTTATGACAATAAATCTTCATTTTTCGAGATGTCTTTGCAACCCCACGACTGTACTGTTGAATAAGACTGTTGGATTCTGATCAATTGTTTGGATTAATTTTATATTTAAGCGGTCTTCATTTAAGTTGTAAAGGGAAGTAACTTTTATGTTGTTGTTGGTATCGCTATGTGCAAGAGACTGTGCTGTGAGCGGAGGACCGTGGAGGTTATAAAACGGTAATTATGCAATTAAATACAAAACTTCAGTAACCGAGAAGTAAGACATTATTAAAGTGGCCGTTTATTTTCATATTTGCGTCTAAATATTAGTATATTCATAGACGTTTCTGCATTATTTTGCAGTCAATCAAGCCGACAGCGCTACCTTAGTATTTCGTGGCAACGGCACCCTTCAACTAGAACAAGAAACTGTTAGAATATGAAACTAAGAATTAGAATAAATGATGAAGTTGAAGAATGATTTGACGTCCTCAATTCTTGAAACCCACAAAGACCATATCATCTGCAAAGATTAGAATAAAAAGTTAAATCATTCCTAATTGGATATCACGTTGCCCATTTGAAATAAGAAAATCAACAATATCATTTACAAAGAATGAAAACAGAAAGGGAGATAACTCACATCCCTGTCGTACACCTGGCTGGCAAGGGGAAAAGTCTGTGTAGCCACCATTGACAAATATAGAAGATTTAACATTTCCATACATATTTTTAAGTATTCTAAATATTTTAGCATTGACATTACCTATTCAAAGTTTGTAAAATAAACCTGTCCTACACACTGAATCGAACGCTGACTTAAGATCTTTGAACGCACAATAGAATCTACTTTTATGTAACAATAGGTATTTTTCAATCAAAGCATTGATAACTTACACATTATCAGATGTTCTAAATCCTTTTCTAAACCCAGCCTGCTCAAGTACTTAAAAACTAACTTGATTGCCCAATCGTTTAAATGTTTACACATTATCTTAGCAAATATTTTCCCTGAACACTCAAGTAAAGAGATGGGTCTATAATCAGAAGAGTTGTTGCTACTGCCTTTTTTGTATAGAGGTATAATTACACCTAGTAACCAGGCTTTAGGATAAACACCAGTATTTAAAATGAGATTAAATAGTGAAAGAAACATTTCAATACATTGGGAGGGGCATTTAAAAAAAATTCTATCGGTATTCCATTATAACCAGGGTATTTACTTTATTTCATATCGTTTATAGCATCAACTATTTCACTGTGAGTTATGTCTATATCAAGTTCACTATTTATATCAATATTATCTTCAATAGTAGTGTCAGACAAGGGAAGTTATTGTTAAACACAATCTTTAAATGATTTACAAAGTCAGATGGTTTTATGTTATCAAAACAAAGGGTTTTTCCTCTCAATAATTTCCAAAAGTCCGCATATTTAGTTTTTAATGCTGTTTTTAAACTGTCACAATATGTATCAAAAGCGTGTTTTGACTTCTGGTTGTACTACTAGTCGTCGTACTAGTTGCTTCGCTTTGCAGAATTTGACGTTTGTGATGTTTTCTTACAGTCTCTCTCTCTTTATCTCTCTCTTTGTCTGTAAGATAAAGATATAAGTGAGGAATAGTGTCTCAATCATTGTTGATGTGAATCATAACTTATGATGCTTTTTCAAATATTATTGTTGGAATTATCCAGAGGTCCAGCAGGATGAGTGAGTGAGTGAGTAGGTTTTACGCCGCTTTTAGCAATATTCCAGCAATATCACGGCGGGGGACACCAGAAATGGGCTTCACACATTGTACCCATGTCGGGAATCCAATCCGGGTCTCCGGCGTGACGAGCGAACGCTTTAACCACTTGGCTACCCGACCGCCCCCCTGCAGGATGAAATAAAATTCTAAATTTATCCGAAAGTAGACGAGTTAACTCAGACATGCAAGACTTTCCATTAATACATATGACTCATCTTCTGTACAGGGCCTGCATGTAATAAACTACACCAGGCTGTAATGTTATTTGATTAAATATCTGGCAGTATAGGCCTGGTTTTATATGGTGCTGCGGTTCCATCTGCTGAGTTGCATCCCTTGGTAGTGCCAGGATCTGCTAATCATGGGTTTGAATCCCAGATTAGCTCTTATCCCTGGTCTGTCGGCATCAAACTGTGATCGTGGAAGTCTGTCTTGACCTGCCATTTTAACCCATGTTATGCTGACATGCCATGACACTAAAATATGGTTGACAGGGGCCTCACCACACCTTGTTCAGTCCTCTATGGAATATGTATTTTCAGGGACAAGGCCGGAGGGTATGGGATCCAGGCTATTGGAGGAACATTGGTGAAGGGCATCAGGGGAGACTACTTCAATGTCATGGGCTTCCCCCTCCACAGCTTCTCCCGGACTCTCGCAAGTCTCTACCAGTCTCAACACTCACAGACATGACACTGGGCTTCCCCCTCCACAGCTTCTCCCGGACTCTCACAAGTCTCTACCAGTCTCAACACTCACAGACATGACACTGGGCTTCCCCCTCCACAGCTTCTCCCGGACTCTCACAAGTCTCTACCAGTCTCAACACTCACAGACATGACACTGGGCTTCCCCCTCCACAGCTTTTCCCGGACTCTCACAAGTCTCTACCAGTCTCAACACTCACAGACATGACACTGGGCTTCCCCCTCCACAGCTTCTCCCGGACTCTCGCAAGTCTCTATCAGTCTCAACACTCACAGACATGACACTGGGCTTCCCCCTCCACAGCTTCTCCCGGACTCTCGCAAGTCTCTACCAGTCTCAACACTCACAGACATGACACTGGGCTTCCCCCTCCACAGCTTCTCCCGGACTCTCACAAGTCTCTACCAGTCTCAACACTCACAGACATGACACTGGGCTTCCCCCTCCACAGCTTTTCCCGGACTCTCACAAGTCTCTACCAGTCTCAACACTCACAGACATGACACTGGGCTTCCCCCTCCACAGCTTCTCCCGGACTCTCGCAAGTCTCTATCAGTCTCAACACTCACAGACATGACACTGAACTTCCCCCTCCACAGCTTCTCCCGGACTCTCGCAAGTCTCTACCAGTCTCAACACTCACAGACATGACACTGGGCTTCCCCCTCCACAGCTTCTCCCGGACTCTCGCAAGTCTCTACCAGTCTCAACACTCACAGACATTACACTGGGCTTCCCCCTCCACAGCTTCTCCCGGACTCTCGCAAGTCTCTACCAGTCTCAACACTCACAGACATGACACTGGGCTTCCCCCTCCACAGCTTCTCCCGGACTCTCGCAAGTCTCTACCAGTCTCAACACTCACAGACATGACAGTGGAGGATTATGGGCTTCCCCCACCACAGCTTCTCTTGGACTCTCGCAAGTCTCTACCAGTCTCAACACTCACAGACATGACTGTGGAGGATTATGGGCGTTAACAATCATTTCATGTACACTACTAGGGGTGAAGTGACACTGACGTGACAGATCTTGAACTGACACAAGTGTTTATCCAGGACATTATGGGAGGAATATGCATTACCCCCAAATGAAGAAGTTTTAAGCACAAGTTTGGATAAATGATCATTTATAAAAAATTACTACCAAATGTGATCAGAGAGTCAAGCTGAGACAGTTTGTGAATGTGGAAACTATGTATCATTGTATAGGGATGTGCCATTTTATAATGAACAAACATTCGAGGTTTGCTTGTAACGCATACATGCACACACACCAAGGCACACACACATTTTACTCTGAGTCAGTCACACACACACACACACACACACACACACACACACACACACACACACACACACACACACACACACACACACACACACACACACACACACACACACACACTCACTCACTCACACACACACACACACACACACACACACACACACACTTGTCTCTGAGTCACACACACACATATTTGTCTCTGAGTCACACACACACATATTTGTCTCTGAGTCACACACACCCACATTTGTCTCTGAGTCACACACACATATTTGTCTCTGAGTCACACACACACATATTTGTCTCTGAGTCAGTCACACACACACACACATTTGTCACACACACACATATTTGTCTCTGAGTCACACACACACACACACTTATCTCTGAATCAGTCACACACACACACACACATTTGTCTCTGAGTCACACACACACACACTTGTCTCTGAATCAGTCAGAACCATACATAGTTTTAGAGGAGGTGCTTTGCTCTGTTTACAAGCGTGCAAGATTCAAGTGGATTGTATGATTTTACACACTGTACACATGTCTTTACTTATTAAATGTTGGTATATCACTTACTGTACCAGTAAATAAAGTGTTTTCCTGCACAGGTTGTTTGTATGTTCATTGTGTGTATAGATGTAAGTATATCTGGGATGTCTGATGCTGGAAATGATGGATTGACCATGAGCGATGTGACTCAGCCTGAGTGTCCATTCTGTTGACCACACTACCTACTGGGCCACCTCTCTGACAAGCTGTTGGGTGGATTGACCATGAGCGATTTGACTCAGCCTGAGTGTCCATTCTGTTGACCACACTGACTACTGGGCCACCTCTCTGACAAGCTGTTGGGTGGATTGACCATGAGCGATGTGACTCTGCCTGAGTGTCCATTCTGTTGACCACACTACCTACTGGGCCACCTCACTGACAAGCTGTTGGGTGGATTGACCATGAGCGATGTGACTCTGCCTGAGTGTCCATTCTGTTGACCACACTACCTACTGGGCCACCTCACTGACAAGCTGTTGGGTGGATTGACCATGAGCGATGTGACTCTGCCTGAGTGTCCATTCTGTTGACCACACTACCTACTGGGCCATCTCACTGCCAAGGTTTTGGGTGGATTGACCATGAGCGATGTGACTCAGCCTGAGTGTCCATTCTGTTGACCACACTACCTACTGGGCCACCTCACTGACAAGCTGTTGGGTGGATTGACCATGAGCGATGTGACTCTGCCTGAGTGTCCATTCTGTTGACCACACTACCTACTGGGCCACCTCACTGACAAGCTGTTGGGTGGATTGACCATGAGCGATGTGACTCTGCCTGAGTGTCCATTCTGTTGACCACACTACCTACTGGGCCACCTCTCTGACAAGCTGTTGGGTGGATTGACCATGAGCGATGTGACTCAGCCTGAGTGTCCATTCTGTTGACCACACTACCTACTGGGCCACCTCACTGACAAGCTGTTGGGTGGATTGACCATGAGCGATGTGACTCTGCCTGAGTGTCCATTCTGTTGACCACACTACCTACTGGGCCATCTCACTGCCAAGGTTTTGGGTGGATTGACCATGAGCGATGTGACTCAGCCTGAGTGTCCATTCTGTTGACCACACTGACTACTGGGCCACCTCTCTGACAAGCTGTTGGGTGGATTGACCATGAGCGATGTGACTCAGCCTGAGTGTCCATTCTGTTGACCACACTGACTACTGGGCCACCTCTCTGACAAGGTTTTGGGTGGATTGACCATGAGCGATGTGACTCAACCTGAGTGTCCATTCTGTTGACCACACTACCTACTGGGCCATCTCTCTGCCAAGCTGTTGGGTGGATTGACCATGAGCGATGTGACTCTGCCTGAGTGTCCATTCTGTTGACCACACTACCTACTGGGCCATCTCACTGCCAAGGTTTTGGGTGGATTGACCATGAGCGATGTGACTCAGCCTGAGTGTCCATTCTGTTGACCACACTACCTACTGGGCCACCTCACTGACAAGCTGTTGGGTGGATTGACCATGAGCGATGTGACTCAGCCTGAGTGTCCATTCTGTTGACCACACTACCTGCTGGGCCACCTCACTGACAAGCTGTTGGGTGGATTGACCATGAGCGATGTGACTCAGCCTGAGTGTCCATTCTGTTGACCACACTACCTACTGGGCCACCTCACTGACAAGCTGTTGGGTGGATTGACCATGAGCGATGTGACTCAACCTGAGTGTCCATTCTGTTGACCACACTACCTACTGGGCCACCTCACTGACAAGCTGTTGGGTGGATTGACCATGAGCGATGTGACTCAGCCTGAGTGTCCATTCTGTTGACCACACTACCTGCTGGGCCACCTCACTGACAAGCTGTTGGGTGGATTGACCATGAGCGATGTGACTCAGCCTGAGTGTCCATTCTGTTGACCACACTACCTACTGGGCCACCTCACTGACAAGCTGTTGGGTGGATTGACCATGAGCGATGTGACTCAACCTGAGTGTCCATTCTGTTGACCACACTACCTACTGGGCCACCTCACTGACAAGCTGTTGGGTGGATTGACCATGAGCGATGTGACTCAACTTGAGTGTCCATTCTGTTGACCACACTACCCATACTCTCTCTGCCCCTGGCTTGCATGCATGGAACTGCCTTTACAACTGGAGATATGTTTCATGCTTTTAACACACCTGCCCATGTTCATTGCCGTGAACCACCAGGGTTCGACTCATGGAAGCGCCAGCTTGAGGGTCATTGGTAGCCGTGTCTCTGTAACGTGTATGTAATCAAGGAAGCGCCAGCTTGAGGGTCATTGGTAGCAGTTTCCCCAGTGTCACTGGCCGTGTCTCTGTAACATGTGTCTGTAATCAAGGCCTGTGTTTATACAGGATGGGGGACATCACCAACAGCAGAGTGACTCATGGTACTGTGTCGTAAGACGTGTTGATATTGTTTGTTTGTTGTTTAACTCCGCTCCTAGCAATATTCCAGCTATATGACCACCCGATCCCGTTAGTTGCCTCTTATATCAGGGCTGACAGCACAGCCACAGTGATTGAATTAATTAGTATCAAGCGATTCACTGAGTACTGCTGACCGCACCCGTCTCGCGTACACGTTACGTCTGCGACTGTACATTGAAGCCCATGTGGACCCCGATATTGAAGCCAATGTGGACCCTGATATTGAAGCCTATGTGGGTCCAACCTTCATTTTTAGCTACCTCCATCAGTAAGTTTATGTCCTGACCTGCTTGTCCGTCAGTGTCGGTGTGGTATGTAAGCATCTCAGAAACCAGTGGACCAATGAAACTGAATCTTCACATACTTAGTCCCACAATGGTGGAACATTTTGTTCACGAGGTTCGAATCTGATTCTCATAGCAGCTATGTATATTGAAAAGGCTGTTCATGGCCACAGCTCACCCATATCTGCTCTGGCTGTGACTGCCTCCCATGGACTTGCCAGACAGGAGGCTGAAACCTACCGTGTGTTTTACTCCTTATGAGGACATATTTAGTTCATGAGTATGTTAAGTCTGTTTTGTAGTAAAAGAATTTAATTTTTTTAAATGGTATTTGAAACCTTCTCCTTTGAATGTTGTTGAAATTTTTTGTGAAGTTAATTTAACTGCTGTTATGCAACAATGATATACAATAAATTGTACATTGTTTCGAAATCTAAAAAATCATTTGTGGAAATTTATTAACTTTTAGGTATTGATGTAGAAACCAAACTTTTAGATATTGTAGAAACCATTTCAATAGCACTAATGATCACAGCGGCCTGTTACATGGGCTTTTAAGGCAGACGTTTGGAACTGTTGTCTACATATACAAGTGAGCAAAAGTCCTGTGGCACTATTTGTTAATAAATCTATAAGGCTGCAGCTATTGCTTCTGTACATACTGATAGCTCACAATGGAAACATGAACTGTTACATGAGCTAGCTAAAGCACATAGCCAGAAACTTGACATTACAGTAAACTACGGTTATTACGAACTCAAAGGGACCACTAATTTTAGTTTTTGTTAACCGTAGTTCGTTATAAGCATATATACAGCATTTATACAACAAATAGTCGGGACTAAAAAAAGGTTTGTTATATCAGTCAGTTTGTTATAAGCGAATTCGTTATAAGCGAGTTCGTCATAAACATAGTTTACTGTATGTGACCAAATGAGCTGCTGTTTTGAGAAACTGTCTTGTGTGCATGAACTGCACGTGTCATGTGGTAACTCCGCATCTTAAACAGAACATCGACGGCTCCACCCCCTTCATAGGGTACTGAGGAAATGCTGCATCCATGCTACAAGTGAAAGATGACGGTCCTAATTCCTTCTGTTCAACAGAGTTATCTTGATCGTATTGTTCAAAATACAATAACACCTCTCTGAAGCAACAAAATACTTTATTGAATACCATTCAGTTACACTCTTAACAAACGTAGGAGAATGACGACAATAGTAATGCTTTGTTATGATATGAAGTCTCATCGCATGAGATCCATGGGCGTAACACACACTTAACCCCTGCAGTGCTAACACACCTTCCAATTGCGTTCTCCAGTTTGTGTTCCAAATAAAGCTGGACACATCAAAGGTGAAAATACTTTTCCGAGATGTTCCCAGACCCCGTTACCATTTAATTTGAAATAAGGGATGTGTATGGAAGGTTCCGTGTTAAAAGTACAAAGGTTAATTTTCAAGGTGAATTTTTACTATGTGGGGAAAAATAAAGTAACTACTACCTCGGCATGTTAAACCTTTATTTATGAAATGACAAAACACAAACTGGTAAAAATAATGCATATCAATGATTGGTATTACAGCCGGCAATGGCCACACCCACACATGCTTGTACATGGGGTTACTGACTTTAGCATACAACAATATGGCTGACATCGCCACGCCGATACAATACCAAATGGTCATAGCCATTTGACAGCAGTACAATATTAATTTCAAAATCTAACCTAATTAACATATGAATAAATTCGCCAAAAATCAAACATTAAAGTCAATTTGCACAGATTTTTGTATTAGATTAAGCACCTGTTTTATAACAATGAACTCCTGATGTTACTGTTCTGGAGTAGTTAAGGCTTCAGGTTGCAATAATACCACAGATAATTTCAAACATTTACCAATTTCCTCTTGGCTCCAAATAAAAGAAAACTCAATCCACTTACAGGAACAATGTAGTGTACACTGGAAAGAAAATAGTTAATTACAGAGATTTTTTGGGTTTGAAACTTGAGAAAATTGCAAAATGCTGGAAATTGTTCTGTCATGTGTTCACCTTTGTGTTGGCTAATAGACAAATGCTAGAGAACAAATGGAAGCGGGTTACCATGGTAACACAATGTCTGAAAATGGCCATGATGTGGAATAATGGTGGTTTATCTGCAACTCTGTGACCTTAAGACGTAAAGCTGTGAAAATGATTTTTAAAAAGAGATCTTTATCTCAAAATGTTGCAAATCACAATATATACTTTGAAAAACGCAAAGTTAAAACTATTTACACATTTGAAGTGTTCATGTCAATTTGAAAGAAATTTCTAAATTTTTTTATGCAAAGTTTATGCAAAATAGTTCCATATTCCTCTGCACTAACCACTTCTGTTGTCATGGCAACTTACAACTCTAGGAAGTGAATTTGGCAGGAGTTGGCTACCGGTGGTGGGACTGTAGCAGTTTGTTCATAGCCTACACTGGTGTTGTGGAATGTGATCGCAAGAGTCACCTGAAATGGCCGACAGTAAACTGGTCCAAACAATGGAAAACTTTCACAGTGTATTATGCTGAAAACTTGGAAAACAGTCATCTTTCTGGCTAAATGGCACAACATGGATACTGGCATACTATGGTGGGAATAACTTAAGTAAATTACTTGGAATAATATGTATACATTGCTTCTAAGAGAAGCAGGGACAAAAAAAACATTTTGAATACCGAGAAAAGTCAAGATGGCTGCCATGTGGTACGTTGACACTTTGATGATGTTGGCACTCTCGTAACATGCCTGCCCTTTTCTGAGGAGGCAGGTGAGCAGTTGCCATGGGGACTTGTCTAAGAGGAGAACCATTCGTGGGACTTTGGCTGGTCTAGACCGATGGGCAGGCAAGAGGCATAATTAGTACTGAGATTGGGTCTGACATGATGCAAGTACATCTTAAGTCACAGAATCAGTTATAGAGTTCTACTTCACTAACCTTGACCTTTGTCCTCAACATGAGGAAGCACCCAATAAGAAGGCACAATGCTGTTGACCTGATCACATGTCACAGGCATGGCAGCCATCTTGAAAATGCTGACGTGAAGGATAGTTAATGTATTCAAAATGAAACTGAAGATTTACCCCCTGGTTAAAGCTTGTGACCTTAAAGAGGGTAAATTTTCATCAATAAACTGAGTATCACTAATATTGAGGATGTAGAGTGCCATATAACGAGAAAGACATACCATCTACAGAAGCGATATACATGTAGAAAACGACAAAAATTAACATAAATTATAGAATTTGTTAACTTCAAAAAATACATGGTAGAAATCCAGTGCAGTTATGTTGAGACCTGTCATAAATCAGGCCTGTGTCCCCATTGGTTGTCGAAGTACTTGAGTATTGGTAAAAATATTTTCAAAATATAACAAGAACAAGATATGGAAAGATCCTTCAAACACTACTTAGAGTTTGAATCTACATAAACCCTGTTACAAACAGTTGATGCGAGAGTTAGCTCTCGTCTGTCAAGTGGATTACAATGGCAAGAAGTAGGAGACGAAGCATCACAGGAAGAACAGATCTTGTTTAACAGCAGTGACAGAAATGCAGAGAATGGAATGGTTTAGTCAACAGAGAGACTAGCATCACTCTCAGAATTATCACCATGGAATAGAAATAATAAAAAAAATCTTCAAGAGGAAACAGTGGAAGTGTCTTCAGCGAAGCACCTACCAGAAAGTTCAGCTAAGACTTAATGATAACATGTATCATATAACAACTGAAGATGTGTCAAGGAAGCATGAAATAATAGTCGGTAGCATGTGAACTTAATCAAGGGGAGGTAATACCGTGGGGTTACAGAGATACAACCAAAGAAAATGCATGTTACCCTGGGAGACTTCAGTTATTGCACGGGGGTTGAGCAAGAACTTAACAAACAACAATCAATAGAACCTACAACATAGGTCTACCGCAAACTTATCCTTAAATCAGTGACTAGATTTTAAACCTGTATAGTTTACACATTTAACAATCAACTGGCGAGATTTTGATTTGCTTTGCTTGAAAATGCGGAAAGAGGATATGGAATCAAACATGTTCGGTTTTTGACACCCCATCTTGTGATGGAGGCTGCAGATGACAGTTATTAGAAGTCACGTGTAACGTCTTCCAAACAACTGTTGATTAGCCCTCCCCCAAAACTGCACTGGACTTGCTACCACTAAATGGAGAACATGAATTACACTAAGGATATTGAAAACACTATGGCCACCACATTGGGAATAGGTGTAACTAACTTTATATAAACTATAGCTGACAAAAACATACCAATAATTTTAACTTATTTACAGGTAAAAGACAACAAAACACACACACACACACTAATTCTAATAACAAAATATGAAAATTCAAACTTTTGAAGGTTACAAGTAAAAACTCAACGTCAAGGCCTGCAGCTAAGATCAACTGATGTAAAGAACATTAGTAAAAGGCTTTATGCATTTGAGGACATAGAAATAGGACAAAATCAGATCCACTTCACTCCTGGTAATTACAAGCTAACGATACACGTTTCAAGGTCACCCCATACCCACAATTCTCTCCCATATAACTGAGCATCATACAAAATTGCATATGTTGAAAGTATGGCTGGTGTAACGAAACCCACTCCACACTGCTTAAGAGTAAAAACACTGGGACTCTACGTGTCGCTCCTCGGTTAATTAGTGTTGTCAAAATAGCTTACAGGTATGTAAACGCTGTCAAAAATATCTGCAAAAAACCTAGACTGAAACGGTAGAAAATTCATTCCGTTTGTTTTTTTAACAATTTACAAAGTGGTAAAATTTTGTACAAGTTAATGCTACCAAAGGGCAGACAACTCTAAACAAGGTTCAAAACCAATCACAAATAGTGAGCCACGACACTCCATCCTCTGGGTATATGTAAGTATATATACGTGGTAAAAATGGCGTCTGACTATATGGCAGCTTTTAAACAGGCCAGTGTAATACTTCCCACATTGATGCTAGAAACAGGCTAATGTATATAACAGTGTCAACAGGAAATGGAAACGGCACAACATTGAAAGCATTCAAAGCATAGCAGATTCAGGGGGTCCGACCCACTCCTTCCAATAGTGGCATTTGGAAGAGAGGCGGGTTATCTCCCTTGGAATGAAGCTGTGAAATAACAATTGCAACATTTAACATGATAAATTTCAAATATTCCAATATGTTCAAACTTATAACAGATACATATTCAACTAGTGATCCTAAACTAGATATATATAATATATAATATAGAATTTGCGACGGCTACCTAACATTAAGCACACACAAATAAACATTTTGGCAGGTATTTTTTTGATTTCCTGTGAAACAAAGGCCCCTCGATTGCTGGTTAATGTAATATCTGACAAGAAATCGAAATATCAAAACGACACCTCACTACATGGAAAACAGGTGGTCTGTCAACAATAAACAGTCTTAGTGAGTGTGAAAATAAAGCTCTTCATAACTGGCATGTTATTTATTGTAATATTTAATAACAGCATATTGATGCACCAATCATTCTAGAATTTGACGTTTCATTAACCATAACTCACAGAAAATATAAAAAAATCATCTGTTGAAAAAAAGGTGACTGATGATGTACTCTATTTCGAGGTCATGAACTCTGACCCATGTCATTTGCATATTTGTAAAAAATTATAACAAACCCCAGATGATCTATGATGGCAACGCCTCCACTGTAAGTTATTTCATTTGTTTTAAATTTATTGCTGATTTTGACAATAAGCTGTTATTTTGACTAATGGCACTCAACAACGTCACGTAGCACTGGGTGCCAGAAAAAACAAACAAAAGCAACGTAACAACTGATATGTAGCAACGTTCATCTTGTCATGGTCGTAGTTTCAAACTATGGTGATGAGAATAAAAAATCAAGCAAAAAATGTAAGCAAATTAATAAATCTCTTGACATAGAATGAGCATTTTATTCAATACTATCAGGAAAATTTGGAAAAAGTAACATTGGACTTGTGTCTGTATATAGTGGTTTTGAAATCTTGGCAAAAAGGATACACAGATTTGACATCAAATTCTGCTGTTCGACCCTGTTGAAATCATGGACGAATCAAAATGGCCAATTAATATGAAAAGTGAGATATTGATGCTTAAATAACAGTAAAAAACAACTTAGAAATGAGTCAAACCATAATGCCTTTTCAAGATGATATTCTGATCATCAAATTCATATAACACGACAAGATTTTTTACCCAAAGATATGGAATTAAGAATCTGTAATTTCTATATCAAGGTGATATAAGAATACTTAAAAGTTCGATGTTGTAAACAAACAGCATAGAATTCAGGGCTGTCTCATAACTTTCAAGTGTTCACAAGTCAAATTATGGCTCAACACAAAAGAACGAGTCCACCAAGAGCAGGATGTTAGCAATAATGTTTTTCTTCTAAAAGTTCCAGTCAGCACGTGACTGCTGCTAGACGGCTTGTAAACTGGAGAGGACCAGCAGAGGAAGCGAAACTCCGTTTTAAAAAGGATGGGAAAGTTTTGGGACAGCCCGTCAGGGGAATGTACAGACGATTGCCAATGACCAGAGACTATGGTAGCACTGGGTAAGATGACAAAATCAACAGAGCGATAACAAGAAATAACTACATATTTAAATCCATGATGATCATGAGAGGATGTAGCATTAGTTACTTTTCCATAAACATTTTCAACATTCAGCACTGACTGATGAACTCGAGAGTGAGATCTACAAAACATGGTATTACTACTAGTAATAGCTTCCTTACCATCAATCATGGGTATGACATTGGGGATATTGCATTTGGAGAATAAATATGAAGCAGATTTGATTAATTTACCAGGTATTAAATAAGTACAAATATGAGATCGATTAATCAAATTTGATAACAATAGGTCAATGACAAGAGTACTGAGGTGAACCTAGCCATAAATTTGACAATGAGGGTCAACATATCTTAAATAATAATCTTTAAGTAAATAACATTTCCATAGATAGAACATCCTATGAAACAGAGAAAGTAACTACCACCTGACAAAATAATAAGTAATAATTAACAGAAAATAATGATTAATGAGCTGGATGAGTGTCATGATCTTAGTATGTTTAGATCTGTGTTGGGATATGTAATGTTCCACTATGCTAACTTGACAATATAATCAACAATGTATCTGATGCTTAACCCTTGGGAGGTCAACAAGGGGTAAGGATATGTTGTGTTAATGGAAAATGAAACAGCATGGGTTAATGATGAACTAGTATCAATAAATTAACCCCATAAGTGCTATGTTAACAGTTACCGGATCCAAAAGGGAGCTCCATAGCGTTTTAGCACTTAGGGGTTAATATAAAAAAAAACAACATTGCCTCTATACGAACTGTACATTACATTGACTCAGACACCACAGTCATTCATGAGACGTATATGAAAAATAGTTGATCAGAGTTCTGATGGGTTAGGGGGATTTGTAACAATACTTTTTACCTGTATGATCAGAAATGCATCTTTATAAATTTGACGGACAGAAAAAAACAAGATTAATACAGTGTTTCAACACACAAACATCAGTATTTGTTCAATGAACAATATTAACGATAAATCAAACGATGCCGTTACTTTTTGGCAACATGAAAAAAAATAACTACCGTTTGAACCACTGGCTCCCAACAATTTGGTTTCGGGCTTAGAGTATTCTAGGATGTCCAATCAAACCATCTTGGACCATAGGTGGTTAACAAAGAAAGGAGCGAGCTGGTTTGGGGAGGGGCAAAACCCATCAGCACCCTAGCACTGGTGACAATACAGACTTAACTGTAGCCATATAACAAAAATGGTTCCATCAGAGTATCCGTTGACGGCACCACCACGATAGTGAACTTCATTCGCTACAAGAAGCCCGGTCAGTCCCTCTTCAACATGGTAAGCTCATGTGACACAACCGCTGATATAAACCATATAACAGTGATGGCTTGCACGATTCGTCGTCTCACACACACACTGTAGCTATCAAACCTAAACTAACAGTTGTACAAGAGACTGCATAAAAATTGCATAATATGGTGTTATTGAGGCAAAGACATTTTGGAAACAGCTGATCACTCACAAGCACCATTACTATATATTTTTTTTTGTATTTTTTAAATATCTTCTTGAAAATAATTTCATCAATGCTCAATTTTTCGTGACACGAAAATCTGTAAAAATACATATTTAGCAGATTATCAAACATTCATCTTTGAAAAAACATATTGAACAATAGTATATATATGGCCAACTGCAATGGTGCATATCTCAACTCTAACAACAAGTACGACTACATAGAAAAGTTTGTGCACAAGGCTGAAAATATAGGAAGACTGTCAACCATTGCTCTAGGAACACAACCATATATGTATGCTAAACACTCAACAGCAAATTAGAAAAATAAGTCTTTCCTCAAACTGTAAGGAAATGGAATTTCAAACGGTGAGCAATCGGTATACTGTGGGGAATACACGGATTATGGAGTCATTAGCTTTAAGGCTGGTCTCTGTAACAAAATGATGCATCATGCATGTATTTTTTTATATTTTTTTTTTATTTTTACATATAGAAAACTTTTAAGGCTGTTAAAATGATTAAGCAATGCCCTTTCTCTGAAGAGCATGTGACTGGGAACAACCAACCAATAAAAACCTGGACAGAAACAACTTCTAAGCCAATCACCTTTCAGGCAACAGTTGATTGGCTGATTGCACTCACCATGGAGACAAATGACTTTTGGCCAATCATTTCTGGGGGGAAATCTCAGCAGTGTTGCAACCTTTCATCTCACTACAGAGTTGCCTCCCTTTACATCATCTTCAAATACTGCTGTCGTACAAAATAAACGAAACAGCGACAATATCACACGTTTCAAAAATGCCACTACAAAACATTTCTACAGCCAGAAAATTACTGGCTTGAATAAAGAGAAGTTGTCACTAGACGCCCTCGTCCGTGATCTGAGAAACATTATGGTCAACAAGCGCTGGAATGTCGGACATCTTAGCATGTTGTGCAATGGCTTTGGTTAGTTGCTCAAATAACTCAATTTTACGATACTATGATGGGAACATGTGTGAAGACTGAAATAACAGTTCAGAATTTGTCAGAGTTTGCAGCGGCAGCTGAGATCCAACAATAACGAAATAAAACGACATATTTCCCACCTCTGTGGAGGAGGGGGCAGAGGGCGGGGGCGTCTAGTGAATGTGCGACCGCTGTACGCGACCATATCCGACATTACAAACAACACATTCATTTGCATATACCACAATTCCACTTTGTAACAAGCTATATTGCAACTTAGTGAGGTAGCACAGACAATAGAGTCAAGACGATTCTTGCAGCATCAACTGTTTCATTGTATTCAATCAAAGAAACAGCATCTGGCCAAATCTATAGTTTCAACAGTACCCACAGCATCAGACAACCCTGAGATCCGTGGCTATACCCAACACCAGGTGGCAAAGACGTTGCCAGAAACTCCTATTTGTATTGGATTCTAAGACACTGTCTACTGAAATTAAATAAAATGATGCATTGATGCATTTGTGAATCGTCGCACCTCTATACAATAAACAGTGAATAAGCCTTGCCCCTTTGGAAAGCTGTTAGAACCGACCCACTGCAGAACGTTTGTCAATAGGGCACTGTCTCCAACCAGGAAACTTGGTCCAACTATGCAGATGCCGATTTCCCCTCCTTACCCCCAAGCCACCAAGTTTACAAACTCCCTCTTCGTCCTAGAGATTCATTAAGGCGAGAAATCCTGGGCTGAACTATGAAATCCTATGGGCAAACATTGAGAATAAACAAGTTTTGATTGCAGTGGAGATGTAAGGTGTGATACTTTTTGAATTTCCAAATTTCAACTTTACAAAGAGGTAGGTCTAATCACTGTATAAATATCAATTGTTACTTTGAACAATGGTGGGAGTAAAGTACAAAATTGTCAACAATGCAAATAAACAAAAGAAAATATTGATAAATAACTAAAGCATGACCTTGCGGCCTAACACCATGCAAAACTACAATCAAATAACTTAGTTTTAAAAAAAACACAGCTGATTTTAAATAATCTGCAGAAAAACGACAATATGCTTCTAAGCCACAACGATCGGCTAACTATATCACATTTTGTATATTAAAGACGAGGCTTTTGATGCTGACAAGGATTGTGGATTTTTTTTATCAACGAAATTAAATTAAGCATATGTATAACAGTGGAGAACAACGAAGTTTAAATACTGACAAGGAGTTATATTGTTAAATTAAACGAAAATGTGAACCTTCGTATGTACCGAGAGCTTCTCGATTCGGAAACAAAATATCTAAGTGTGAGTTGACTAGTCTTCGGAAGCGTAACAGTCAGTAATTTCTGGTACACTGGCTCAGCCATTTGACAGACTGCCATTAATCCAATTACAATGTGATTATGAGACAATTCCAGGCAAATGACAGTAACATACAAAACACAAATCCATGCACAGTGTAAAAAATTGCAGATCACAAAGATTTTTCCCCTTACTATATTGTAACAGCTTGTAATTACATATAAAATAGAACCTGCAATTGATTACAGTGTACATCTAGGAATATGCAGGTGGTAACCACGGTAACATTACATGTATTTGTAGATGTATAGCTTGTAATCTTTACTGGCAAGAACGACTGAACCGTCGTCCATCAGAGCAACGTCAAAGCACTGAGCATGTTTGACCTTGGATTCAAGGGCATTGATGAGTTGGCCTTCTTGCGTGAAGATGGTCAAGTTGAAATTATTGTGATTGTCAGCCACGAGAACCTCTCCTGCAGAGTTAATGCCCACGCCGATAGGGTAGTTGGTGACACCCTCTCCGCCGATCTGACGCAGAAATACACCCTGGTAGTTGAAGACCTTGACACAGTGGGCCCGGTTGTCGCTGATGAAGATTTCTTCCTTGTCGTTGACGACAACGCTGTTGGGGAACTGAAGGTGTTTGGAGCAACCGAATTTGTTGAGGACGTTACCGAACTGGTCAAAGATAATGACCCTCATCACCTTGCACTCTACGATGATGATCCTGCCTTTGTTGTCGACGGTAACCCCTCGTGGGTGCTGCAGCACGTTGGCACCGAACTTGCGCACAAACTGACCATACTGGTTGTAGATCTGGATTTGGTGTGTAGGACTGCGCTCTGTGACAATGATGTCCCCAGATGATCGGACGACTGACACTCGATTTGGGTAAAGCAGTTGCCCATCACGCTTTCCACACTCTCCAAACTGGAACTTAAACCTGCCTTCCTTGTCAAAGATTTGGATTCGGTGATTATTGGTGTCAGCAACGATGATGTCATTCTGGGCGTTGACAGCAACCCCACTTGGTTCTGTGAACTGGCCCTCCAGGACTCCAAACTCCCCGAACCTACAGTGATAGATCATCTTCTGTCGTCTGATCTGGGACTTTGGTGGGTAGATGCTTGAACTGATGAGTTTCGATGTGAGGTCATTTATTGGGTCGGCAGAAGGTGAGAACACATCAATGCCATTCGAGAGAATGTCAAGGCCACTGGACCACTTCTCGTACTGGTTGCTGTCATTGGGAGGAAAGATAAGACCTGGGCTCCCAAAGTCTTTGGCAAGGTTAACAGTGTCCACTTGATCAAATATATGACCATTGCTCAGACTGGACGTTGTCGGAATGAAACCGTTGGTAGTCGGGCGAGCAATTGGCTGAGGTTTCTGTGTTTGTAATGCCTCGTTTCCTTGTCTCACATATCCAAATGTATTGCGCACGCCTGCCTGAATTGCCTGGAAGTTGGAGACGAACTCGATCTCAAAATAACCCTGGTTGTTGAGGTCTGGAAGGAAGTTGAACATGTTCTGGAACCTCTGTTCTACAAAGTTTTTCAGCAGCAAAGCCTCGGTGATGGAGGCGTGTTTCAGGAGCTTGTCAATGAACTCTACGCCTTGGTACAGCTTCTCCACACTTTCCTGAATCTTCTGTGCCAGGGTGCTGATTCCAACCTGCTTGGTGTTGAAGGCCTGGTCCAGTTCCTTCAGCGCCTCAGTCTTTCGCTCCTCCAGCATTGCCCGGTAAAAGTTGTACGTGTCATTGATGTCGTTCTGGGCCTTGTGGTACTGGGACTGTAGAGTTGCTGAGATGTGCTCGATTCCTTTGGCCGAAAGTCGCAGATCTCCCACTTTGCTTCTGGCATCGCCCTCTAGGTGGCGCAACATGTCTATTTGTTTGTCTGCTACATCCATAAGGAACTGACATTCGTGGCCCCGGCCGTGGTCAAATACTGTGCATTCCTTGCAGATTGGCTGGGCACATGTCTTGCAATAGAACTTGAGCACATCATTCTTGTGTTTGGGACAGCTGACTGGCTTGTCAGACTTGGACCCCTCCTCCTTATTCATTTGTAGGTCTCCCAAGCTCACAACTCGATGTCCTTCAAAACAGTGCATGAACTGGTGAGCCATCACGCAGTTTGCACATAGGAAGTTAGCACAGTCAAAACAGCGTGCAACAGCATTTGTTTCTTTGCTTTTGCATCCTGTGCAATGCAAGGCACTTGGGTCTAGGGCCGAAGTCTCCAGAATGTTGCTTACTGCGTAATCCTGCTTGAGTCCTGTGAGTCCCTCGGCCCCGAGATATGTATCGAAGTGACACTCGGGACATGTGACTTTGTCCGTTTCGTCCTGAATCTTTTCTAGACATGGCTGACAAAAGGTATGGAAGCAGCTGAGCACCTTGGGCATGGAGAACGTGTCGTTACAGAGGCTGCAGCGCGTGTTGAGTCCAGCTGACTCCATCTCACTGTCCGAGGAGTTGGAGGCTGTTGTGAGCGTGTCGCTCTGAGATGGGGTTGGGGATGCCATTGTGAGGGGTGGAGATTGTCGCGGGTCAGTCACACTTTAGAAATTGCACCTGGAACAGAGGAAAACATAGTAAGTATACAACAACAACAATAATGTAGGCAGATAATAACAATAATAATATAAGTTCTCCACCTGCACTGTATTAATCAGGATGCCTCATGTACTGACAAGCCTTTCAGTTAGCCATCTTTTATGTGAGCCATTGTCATAAGAAGAGCAACAAAAAATGTATGTCTTTATTTCAATTTCTTCCAAATATGCTACATAAAATTTTGAAGTATGTGTAAAAGCTGCACATGAGTAAATCAAATTGACATTCCTAAGGCTATGTGTTGTAAAAGATTTTAGACTGCCCGCAATGTATGGAAACATGACACAATTTCAACTCAACCATAGCCTATGATTAACTTGTTCAACGTTTTGGAAATTGTATGGCAACACTCAAGACAGGAAATCAGTGCTTTCCACGAGCGGAAAGTTTCCACTGTTAACATGGAAAAAGAATATTAAAATACTAAAGTATATGAAACAGTCCATAAGGGGGACAGTTGGTGAGAGATATGAAGTTTTACTTTTTTCATCAAACTTTAGACAGGTCCCTCAAAACCCAAATACTGAATTGTTCCTATTTGCTAAGGCTTGTCCAATCTGAACCGCTTGTTCACACCCTAGGTCAAAGGTCAGTCGGCTCACACACTGTCAACTGAGGCACTGGCCTCTCGTCAAGTGCCGTGTCAGTGTCAACAACATATTGTCTTCAATCTTAATCAGTTGCATAACAATAACTGTTCTTTTCAGGTAGTTGTCAAAATAAAACAGTTGTGATCACAGGAACACCCTTTTCTAAGGACAGGTGAAATAATATTCTTGTATTTCATGATTTCAGTAGTAAGTTTTTTGGGTGTTTTTCTAGGTAACAAACTATAGGACAGTATCCATGGTTCGACTGTGCTGTACATGCTACACATGATAAATGCTCCTATTCCTATTGTATGTATTATATGGGAGGTTCATTAATGTAATTGGGATACACAATAAATAATTGTTTTGAGTGAGTGAAAGTGGAATCAGAACTTGAGTTGAATTCCTAACTGTGTGTGTGTTGTGTGTGTGTTTTGTTTACAGGGATGTGTGTGTTTTGTTTACAGGGATGTGTGTGTGTGTGATTTGTTTACAGGAATGTGTGTGTGTGTGTTTGTTTACAGTGATGTGTGTGAGTGTGATGTGTGTGTTTTGTTTACAGGGATGTGTGTTTTGTTTACAGGGATGTGTGTTTTGTTTACAGGGATGTGTGTTTGTTTACAGGGATGTGTGTGATGTGTGTGATGTGTGTGTGTCTTGTTTACAGGGATGTGTGTGTGTGTGTGTTTTGTTTACAGGGATGTGTGTGTTTGTTTACAGGGATGTGTGTGATGTGTGTGTGTCTTGTTTACAGGGATGTGTGTGTGTGATGTGTGTGTTTTGTTTACAGGGATGTGTGTGTGTGCGTGCGTGTGTGTGTGTGCGTGCGTGCATGCGTGTGTGTGAGAGAGAGAGAGAGTGGGGGAAGAGATTGGTAGTATCAGGCTTGGGCAGATCAAACAAGAGAAACATGAAATTTGTTGTAACAATCTTAATAAATGCAATTGCAACAAAATATGTACCAAGGCATGATCCTAATTCCTATTTAATACATTGCAGTGTTTAACTCCACAAGGAGGCCTTCCTCCCTGCCTCATGACATGATCCGTCAATGTCAGCAGTATTAATAGAAGAGGAGCTGGGATATATCTAACAGTCTATTATTAGACTCGTATTAAACATCGAAAATAACTTGGCAAACCAGCAGAGCAAACAAAAGCCTTGATATCACAAGTTGGCTCACATGTTAGGAGAGCGAACAGGGGGATATCTGTCACATATTTATCTCAAAATAAAACCCTAAAGCATACAAATAGTTATAGTGAGTATCGAAAAGTATGTAAGTTTCTTTTCCAGGGTTGAAACCACATCTTGCACATGGGTAATCAGTTAGAACTTGACAAATAAAATTTGATAATATATATAAATGAAAAGCTTTCATCTACCAACCCTGACACAGGACAGACGCGTGACATGGAAGTTGAGAGTATTTAAAATGCTCAGAAAGAACAGCCAACTAACCTACAAGTCCAAGCTAGGTAGGAAGATTTTGATTTGGGTAAAGTTATATCAATATATTCAACCTGCAACCATGACTACAGCACTAGCTTCAAACAAGGTGAACAAACCCATCCCTCTGTTAGTGTGTTCGCACTAGTTGAAACAAAACCCTGTAGTTCCACCTAAGATCATTCAAGCTCAGGGAGACATCAACTGGCTTGTAGCACAGACACAGCAGACTGCTGCTGAATAAGCACATCAATCAACCATGTCAATCATTAACCATGACAACAAACACGTCAATGAATGAGTCAATCAACACCAAGTAGAGCAGCTTTCGCAAACAAGCAATGAGCACCCACTGTAGGAAACAGGACACAAAGAGCACCCACTGTAGGAAACAGGACACAAAGAGCACCCACTGTAGGAAACAGGACACAAAGAGCACCCACTGTATGAAACAGGACACAAAGAGCACCCACTGTAGGAAACAGGACACAAAGAGCACCCACTGTAGGAAACAGGACACAAAGAGCACCCACTGTAGGAAACAGGACACAAAGAGCACCCACTGTAGGAAATAGAACACAAAGAGCACCCACTGTATGAAACAGGACACAAAGAGCACCCACTGTAGGAAACAGGACACAAAGAGCACCCACTGTATGAAACAGGACACAAACAGCACCCACTGTAGGAAACAGGACACAAAGAGCACCCACTGTATGATGTTTTGAGTTGTTTAACGCCGAACACAGCAATATTCCAGATATATGACGGCGGTCTGTAAATAATCCAGTCTGGCCCAGACAATCCAGTGATTAACATCATGAGCATCACTCTTCGCAATTAGGATACAATGACATGCAATAACCAGTCAGCGAGTCTGACCACCCGATCCTGTTAGTCACCTCTTACGACAAGAACAGTCACCTTTGTACGACAAGCATGGGTTGCTGATGACCTATTCTACCCTGGATCTTGACAGGCCATTTACGTCCAAAGGTGGGAGTAACTTTGTTTTGTTCAGCACTACCCTCAGCACTGTGTTCAGCAATATTCCAGCACTACCTTCAGCAATATTCCAGCACTATCCTCAGCACTATCTTCAGCACTACGTTCAGCACTACGTTCAGCACTACCCTCAGCACTATCCCCTGACTCGTCCCAGCAGCTGACTGACATGAGAATCAGGGAGTCACAGCACTGTCTGAGTCAGCAAATGAGTGAACTGGTTCTATGTTGTTTCCAACAGTATCAGCATAATATGGCATGACCGTGAAACTGTAGCAATCTGCCATTCCACCACAAGATCAGCAGATCCTGCAACAAGCAAGGGACATGACTTCTGATGCCTTAGACAACAGTAATATTAGAATGGGTGATCAGTCTTTAGACCCACCCTCATTTGCATGTGACTTATAGCGTGTCATCCTTCCTTGAAATTCTGTCCATGATCTTAACTATGCCCAGTCGAATGCAATACTGCTGTGAAACTGCGGACTACATCAAACAAACTGCCCAGAAAAACACACCTTTCTTGCTGAATTATGAGAATGTTTTTACACCGCTTTTAGCAATATCCAAGCAATAGCACAGAGGGGGACACCAGAAATGGGCCTGACACATTGTACCCATGTGGGGAATCGAACCCAGGCCTTCGGTGTGGTGAGCGAACGCTTTAACCACTAGGCTACCCTACCACCCCCTTTCTTGCTGAAAAGATTTAGTAGAAAGTACAGAATAATGGCCATTCGACAGACATCAAGTCTTAATTAGGACTGACTAAACCAAGTCCCCAACTGACTGGACATCAAGGGGAAACCGGCACTTTACAGTAATTGTCTGCCAAGTCCAAATTTAAATTCATATTCATCCATTTACGATCAGAAACATCTGAGTGAGTGAGTTTGGTTCTACGCTGCTTTTAGCAATATTCACTCATTGTACCCATGTGGGGAATCGAACTCGGGTCTTCGGCGTGACGAGTACGCTTTAACCACTAGGATAACCCCCAGCCCCCTGAAACATCCAAGAGGTACTATATACACCCACTGATTTCACCAAATGATAACCATGACAACAGACTTGTTTTGTTCGGCCTGAACACAACATGAAGTACTTTCACCACTTCATAAACCATTTCGTCAACACCGAAATTCAAAACTTAACAATGTACTGACCGACTTGTTTGTAAAATAACATGTTGATCCTTCAACCAATCCAGTGTAGTTTAAAATCAACCCAGAGCTCAACTTTACATTTTTCGTATGTTTGTAATCAACTCAAATACATCTGCCCATAATTAAAATACAGAGTTAGAGCATTTCATCATGTTTTATCCAAATCTTGATAGGAATGCACTGCTAACTTCAAATAACTTTCAACTGGCTAGAATGAACACATGATGGACTAAGAACCAGGATCTCACTTCATGACCTTTTAGTGAATCAGGATGCAGGAGGAATGACCTATCAAATTATACAACACATCAACTACCGTTAACATTCCCCACCGAGGATAAGATAAATATTTATGATAGCTAGACTAATGATTTTCATCATGAAAGGTTTGAAAATAATATTTACTTCTCAACAAGGTGTGAAATTATTAAACTTACCGTTCGATATTGATTTGTGACACATACAAAGACCCCGATGGAGAGTTACTGTTCATAATGAAGTATTAGGACTTCCTCTGACAAGTAGGGCACACAAGGTTCATCCGATAAACTAGCAGTAATGCAATACCAACGCAATTCCCCGACAAGCGGAAGTAGGTCAAGCACACAAGTAGCCTTATTCCAGGGTATATATCACTGCCACTCGCCCTACCAGTTACTGCCAACTTTCACACAAACTTATTGACCTCATTGAATAACTTAAATGTCACTTGAACACTGGTAAAACGTGAAGCTTGAAAAAGTTCTACTTACATAAACAAACGTCAGGTACGGATATCCATTTGAATGGCCTGTTATCAGTCAACACTTATCTAACTAATATCACACTAGGGTCATTAACCATATCAATTAGTTGTACACAGGAACAATAAACAGTACGGGAATGGACAATCAAGCTTCCTTCTTCAGCCATGTACGTGTACAATCCAATGCTAACTGACTGAGTGTGCTAGCGTCCACACCACTTCCCTTGTGTATTGATGACTAACCATGTGTTCACAGGTCCGACAGACAGTCCCGAACAGCAAATACTTGGTCACCACGCAAACCGGGGATGGTCTCATAATCACCAAGCGTGAAATCTCACAGTTCAAGGCAACAAAGCTTCCAGCTGCACGGTTGAAACAGTCAGTGTTCCAGGGTGAAGTGGCTTGCTTTCTCTTGGACAATCCAATAACTTCGGCGGCTGGTCGTCTGAGTCAGGTTCAGGGATCGTTAGAAAAACGCATGACTTGATATGCCTCATTCTCTTCATCTTTAGTCATGAGGTGAACCTTTCCATCATCTCATGTAAAAAACTAAACTTATCTAAATGTTAATGTTTGTGATGTCATAAATCTACCAGGCAGATGATTCTGGCGGCCATACTCTACATTATTGTTTTTTAATGATACTTTAAATGTAGAATGTTGAATGATCCATTGAAAACAAGAAATTTAAGGCCCAAATGTCCGTTATTTACAAGATCAATGTCGGAAAATCTACAGACCTTGCATGGCATCTTTTTTTTTTCCTTCTTTTTTTCCCCCACTAATTTCCGTGAAAATATTTAATTAGCTACTGACTGCATAAACAAAATCAAATTGAAACAAAGATCTTCTAAAGTAACACTTGTCTGTAACACCAAAGAACAAAGGAAATAATAATAATAATAACAACTCCATGGAGTCATCTGAGAAGAAAATGCAACGAATAGATAACCCATCATTACTGCCATATTGTATAGTTGTTAAAACAACCACATTACTTTTGAGATGGACCCTGAAGGTCAATCTCCTGGCTGGGTGACCACTGTCCACAGCACCTGTTGTGACCGGAGGTGATGCAATACCTGAGATCTGTGATCAGCCTTGACAGGTAGCTGGCTAAGCTGTCTCGGTGGACTTCAGCCTGTGACATGTTGTGTCAGCCCTCCACCACACAGGTTATGTAGCACTATACTTACAAAACGTAACACAGTCTTAGGTCATATTGGCAACAAATTCCCTACACAATGCAATTATCTAACAACTCACCACTTCAGTCTTATAGCTTAATGGAGAACTGATGACAATGAAGAACATTGGCATTGGGACAAAAATACACCCCTATGTTTACATATTCCTTATTATGATCAGTTTTTTTGTATGTTGATTATGAATAAGCTCTCACAATACTGATCAGTGTTATTAACTATGAGGGGTAGATTACTGCCATGGATCACTGTCAAGGAAGCATCATTAATCAACATACCACATTTAACACAATTACACTTAAAGAGTTCAGGGATGTTGTGAAAAGGGATGCTTTTCCCTACATCTGGATACCAATATTATTGGATTTGTAGGTGATCATCAAGATATCAAAAACTATCAGCGTATTTTGTCCCAAACAGTTAAGGCAATTGGTTCTGGAAGTTTCCCGGTACTATCTGATTATCATTTCAGCATTGCAGTAAAACATGGAAGCTTAAAAAAGAATTTTCTGTCATAGTTTCTCCAACTTCCGAAATTCGTCAATCCATTTCTTATTTCCAAACGTGGAAATGATCATTGTCCATTTATTATTACCTACTCTATTTGTCTTGAAAATGACATTCTGAATATATTTGACTTATGAATTGTGATAACCTATCACACATACCCATCAAAAACACATGTAAGGAAGCGAAGACTGTGTGTAAATGTGGATAGGGCTAGTTGCCTATCCAGAACCGGTGGACAGCGGTACATGCTTTGTGGCAGGCATATGCACAAGGCTTGTACCGATCACCTGCCTGTCATTGGTGATTGAATCAGGTTGAGGGTCACGGCAAGGTGGGCTCCCACATGATGCATTGGTTACTGAGGAGGGGGTGGCTAATATTAGTCCCAATGGCCACAGTTTCTCTGTGCCAGAGGCCTTGACCTGTTTGGGCAACTTAACACTTCCTCGCTTCGTTAAATATCAAACTCTTAGATTTAATGTTGCTTATGTATTCTTATCACACTGACACTGAAGTAGCCTTATACTTGACCCATCAGGTTGTTGGTTCTTAGGAGTCTTGGAAAGCCTAATATGATGGATTTCTTTCATTTTTGTTTGTTGTGTAATCATGCACTGATGGGTTTCTGTAAATAAATTGGCGAGGTAAACCAGTGATGCATACTGGGAGTAACGATTCTAGCTGTCGGGGCATGGCGACACGCAATCCAAAACGTCAGTCAGATCACACGATGCATGAAGTCCTATGACAAGCATAGCTGCATAGTTCCCATGCTAATCTGGAACCCCCAGGGGGTAAAATAATTTAAACAAACACTTTAACATTCGATGGAATTAATAGATCTCCAGAAGGTAAGAATTATAATAAAATAACAGTATGTGACTTTAAAAATCATTTCCCATAGCTTATGGGACGATGGTTATCTAAGTCATAAGAAACCTACTTGACAATAGACCCACAACAAACCCACTTGATAACAGACCCACAACAAACCCACTTGATAACAGACCCACAACCCCACTTGACAATAGACCCACAACCCCACTTGATAACAGACCCACAACAAACCCACTTGACAATAGGCCCACAACCCCACTTGATAACAGACCCACAACAAACCCACTTGACAATAGGCCCACAACCCCACTTGATAACAGACCCACAACAACCCCACTTGACAAAAGGCCCACAACCCCACTTGATAACAGACCCACAACAACCCCACTTGATAACAGACCCACAACAACCCCACTTGACAATAGGCCCACAACCCCACTTGATAACAGACCCACAACAAACCCACTTGACAATAGGCCCACAACCCCACTTGATAACAGACCCACAACAAACCCACTTGACAATAGGCCCACAACCCCACTTGATAACAGACCCACAACAACCCCACTTGACAAAAGGCCCACAACCCCACTTGATAACAGACCCACAACCCCACTTGACAATAGACCCACAACAACCCCACTTGATAACAGACCCACAACAAACCAACTTGACAATAGGCCCACAACCCCACTTGATAACAGACCCACAACCCCACTTGATAATAGAGCCACAACAACCCCACTTGACAATAGGCCCACAACCCCACTTGATAACAGACCCACAACCCCATTTGATAATAGACCCACAACCCCACTTGATAACAGACCCACAATAACCCCACTTGATAACAGACCCACAACAACCCCACTTGATAACAGACCCACAACCCCACTTGATAACAGACCCATAACCCCACTTGATAATAGACCCACAACCCCATTTGATAATAGACCCACCACTCCACTTGATCACAGACACACTATCATTAACTGTCCATCATTGTCATAATGTGATGTAGGCTTCAGGCTATTAGCCTCAGCCGAATGTGTTAAGGTTGTCAGATTAACATGAAAAACGCTACAGACAACTGGTCTGGCAGATTGTAAAATATATTGGAGAAAGACTGAAATTACCAATTCTAGATATTGGTCTAGCACTAATGTCAGGCGCTGTCATTAAAGTCAGCTCTAGTGATAAGCACAGGTTAAACAACAGCCTCCCAGACATCACACACAGCAGGAATGAGGAAGTTCAGAGTCCAAGTAACTTCACATCCAAATCAATATCAACAGCAGCAGGTGAAAGTATTTCTTCACGGCATGTTCACAGGGTTGGTACTCACGGCAGAGACTGAAATCCCCATTGTGAGTAATCATTAGTCTACATAAAACATTCTTGCATCTCTTCACTGACCAACCCCAGAATTCGTCCCGACCCGATTTATTTTTTTAAAATCTTTTTTTCATGCTACAACCAGTTCTTGTTCTGCATTTTTTAAAGTTATGTTCAAATCTGAAGTTGCACTTTTATATGTAACCTGTTGTGATGATCAGTATTGTTGTTTGTGATCATGATTTTGAAAAATGTAAAAGCATTCAATTATTTTAAGCCTTAGTACAATTATGATTTTTTTTTCAGAAGTGATGAAATACAAAATAATCTGGTAGGTAAATGTTTCTTTCTAAATTCTAAAACTCAATCCCTCCTGATGGGTTAAAGTAATCCATGTTCTGACATCACAACCTCATGTTGTTCTCGAAGGAAACTAGCCACCCAACACACACTTTACGGTAGAGCAATCTGTAGTCAAGGTGAAGGTGAAAGGTCCTGCTATCAAGGCCTGTGTGTAAGGTCCATGTTGGATTTAGTTAATGTAAACGTGGAATGTTGATGTTAGTGAGAGGTCGCCACACATTCCCACCCAGCTGACATTCTCAGAATGTCCATCACATAATACACAGCTTTGTTGTAACCATTTGCCTCAGAACAAGCACCTGTTAAGGTGTCTTGCCTAAACCAACATCTTTCCACATTGAAGATGTATTACAAAGTGGTCGGTTTTGTTACTCCATTCTTACATATGTTAATGATTTTTCAATTGGGAGCAAAACTCACAAGTGATAATTTCTTCAAAATCATTCATTGCGAATCACCACTGATAAGAACCGTTATGATCAACTGATTAAATGAACGTCTAGTCCACACACAAGATTTATCAATCAGGATTTCATATATCTGACATGTCATAACAGGCAGTATGGCATATGAACTATTCCTTCATTTGGGTACAACTCCATATTATTCTACAACATTATACAAGACGAAGACTGCAATCTTAGACAAATCATTAGTGAACATCGAAACTGATGACCAGATGACCTGATGACCTGACACCCATACACAATAACTTACAAGGTCATGAAAGGATTCCAGATTCGTTTTTTGTTTATCCACAAACTTACAAAAAATTAATGCAACTAGTTCAATGATCTAAACCCTTCCGTGCCAGGAATATGTTTTCTAAACCCTTTCCATGTCAGTAAAACGTTGCAAACATAAAATTATCTGTAAATTATTTAAGACGAATGAGCTAACTATTTAAAAAATATCCAAAAACCTACTTCCCACTAATCAAAACACTTGAAATATGGGAGGTATTCTCCCGAGTGTCGGTGGGCATAAT